AAACACTTCTTGTCAGTAAGACAAGTGAAATAATAATATTCTTAAAAAGAAAAGAAAATTATTGGCAGGAAAAAGTGGAGTACAAGAAAATTAGACTAGATATGAGAAAGAACTACTTAGAAATTCTTTAATTAAAAAAATGATATAGACACCTAAATCATGAAATTTAGAAAATCGAAATTAGGAAATTAAAAGAGAATACTGACTAATCCAAACAAAAACATATATTTTAAAAAAATTTATTGAGTTTATTGGTACTTTTTAAGTATACAGTATAGTTATAATTCATCATTGGGATCTTGTGCCTTTACATGATAAGTCTTGGTTCTCAGTTTTTCCCCATCCCCCTGCCCTCCCTTCACCCCCTCGACCCTCACTTATTTACAAAGAACTTTGTTTCCATTTTTTCCTTTTCTCATAGTTTTTTCTTTTCCCTTATTTCCTTTCCCCTACCCTTTCCACTTCCCCTACACCTTTAGCCCTTTTCTTGGGACCATATTCTTAGGTGAAATAAATAAGACACACATGTGTAAATACCAAAGCGTTTCTCTGGTGTGAAAACCTAAAAGTGTAAATAAGATCCAAATTGTATAGCTGATAATGTGAAATAGAAAGAAAAGTTCCCAAAAACAGATATTAAGGAAAATATGTCTCTCTATGAGATAATCAGGAAAGATTGAAATCCTTTAATACATGTAAGAGTTTCCGATAGCCTTTTTTAAATTGCTTTGCACTGTCATTACTTTTTTTTTTTAACTAATTGAGTTTATTGGTACAATTTAGATATACATAATGATTACTTTCATGATACTGAATTTGTAACTACCTTGAATGATATATGTTAATTCTTGTTGTTCTTCCCATTCCCCTCCCCTCCCTTTTATTCTGCCCCTCCTCCTTATTTTCTAAAGCTTTGCTTCCATTTTATCTTTGCTCCTTTCTCCTTTTCTTCCTTTCCCCCTCCCCCATCCCTAGAGTCCCTTCCCATTTGAATATTTTCTTCCTTTATTTTACAATGTCAACTACACATTTTGGTCCTTTCATTTCTGGTCATTCGAGAGATGCAAATTAGGACAACATTGAGATTCCATCTCACTCCAGAAAGAATGGCTATTATCAACCAATAACAAATGCTGGTGAGGATGTAGGATGTAGGAACACTTCTCCATTGTTGGTGGAAGTATAGACTGCTGCAATCACTGTGGAAATCAGTGTGGAGATTCCTCAAAACTAGGACTAGAGGTCCCATTTGACCCAGCTATTCCCCTTCTTAATAATTCCTGAAAAGAATTAAAAGCGTCATACCACAGTGATATGCACACCCATATTTATAGCAGCACAGTGTGTAACAGCTAAGTCTTGGAAACAACCCAAATACCCATCAACTGAAAAATAAAGCAGATATGGTTTTTTTATATAATGGATGACTACTCAGCCATTAAGAAGGATAAATTTGAGACATTTATAGGTAAATGGATGCACCTTGTGACCATACTCTTAAATAAATTGAACACTTGTGTGTAAATATCAAATAGTCTTCTTGAATGATATATAACTTAGTGTTAGTTCAGGCAATGGCTTCAAGGGGGTACCCCTTCACAGAAGAGGTGAATTAATTTCTTTACAGTTGTGGGTTAAAATTTGAACATAGCTTGAGAGAAATTGAGTTGAGATGGAATCTTAGAATATTTGAGAACTAATGCTTTTTAATTTTTTTTATTTTGTGGGGTGTGTATGTGTGTGTTGGTGCTGTGATTTGAACCCAGTGCCCTGTATATGCCAAGCATGCACTCTACCACTGCTTTATACTGCCAAGAACTGATCTTGTAAGATTTTCCTAGGCATACAAGGCAAATAATAAGGACAGTTGGGTGGAAAGACTTCTTAGGCTTTGACATGGCTGTCATTGGAAAATAATTTTGATATATATATAATTTTGGTTTTGATTGGGTTCGCTTCATAGTGTAAATTTTTGTTTAGCAGCTATTTTTCAAGAGGTAGTAAACATTTCTTTATGTTTTTTGTGTACTAACATTTATGTTTTTCTCTTAAAATTTCAGATATAATCTTTCCTGTGAAATTTTATGCTATTTACTTGTAATTTCATTTGAAAAATTAACTTTGGAAACCTAAGAAGAGTGGATTTGTATAGCTGTTAAACTTAACATCTCTTCAAAGGATGACCTTTCTGTATTCCCCAGAGAATTAAGATTTTCAGCAAGTGAAGAAACTTGTATAGGATAATTTCTTAAGGCCAAGCAGACATTTAGTATACTAGTACTAAAATTTAGAGTTCCGTATAAAGTCAATTCCCTATTTTTATCCAAGGAGTATCAATTAGTATTATAATGGAAACATAAACATTCTTTGTCCTGTTATTATGATGGTGTTTACTTTAGGATTGGCTAGAGAGTTAGTGAAGGCTGTATAATTCTACAATGCTGAGATGAAAAGTAATGTTGTTAAGCTTTCTTAGTTTTACAGATTTATTTTCAAATTTATTTAGTATGTAATACAGCATTATTCAACAAATTGTCTTTTTTCCAGTATTGGGGATTGAACTTAGAGCCTTTACTCAGACCTATCCTTAGCTTTTCAAAAGTTTTTACAATTTTGAGATAGGGTCTAGTCAAGTCACTAAGTTGTCCATGCTAGGTTTAAACTTAAAATCCTTGTGCCTTACCCTCCCAGAGTGCTGGGATTACAGGTGTGTGCTAGCAGATTCACTTTTTAAAGCTTTTATTTTGAAATTATTATATATACATAGAAGGCCATAAAAATTTAGGGGGAGAGCCCCTGTTTACCCTTCACCCATTTTCTTCTAGTAGTAATATCTAGCATAGCTATAGTATATTATTTAAACAAAGCAGTTGACATTGGCAAGCTGTGACATCCATGGATTTAATTCTCATTTCACTAATTTTTCAGGTGCTGATCCTACGTGTGTGTCTGTATATAATTCTGTGCAATTTTGTCATATGTAGATACGTTTAATTTCTACCATCAAAAATTTTTAGTTATAATTTCTTATAGTATATCTAATTCATGATTATTAGTATTTTGGTATGTAAATAGTTTCTTTAAAAAATAAAGCACGGAATGCAAGGCTGTGGGGCAAAAGGAACCCTTCTCCATTGCTAGTAGGAGTGCAAACTGGTACTATGGAAATCAGTATTGAGATTCCTTAAAAAACTAAAACCAGGGCCAGGGATTTAGCTCAGTGGAGCTACACCACCAGCCTTGCAAGTGCAAGGTTATGAGTTCAATCCCCAGTATCACACAAAACAAAACAAAACAAAACAAAAAAAACTAAAACTAGAGGTTCCATTTGAGCTTTTCACCTCTAAGGTATCTTCCCAAAAGAGTTAAATCCATGACACCCTAGTGGTCTATACATATTCATGCTTATAGCAGCATACTTTATAATAGCTGAATCTTGGGAATATCGCGTATGCCTATCAAAAGATGAATAGATAAAATTGCTATCTGTATACAGTGGAGATAAACTTGAGTAATTTGTAGGAAAATGGATGAACCTCAAGACAATAACCTTAAGTGAAGTAAATTGGACATACAAGTTTAAATATTGCATTGTTTCTTTTGTGTGAGAAACCCAAAGGGTAAAGAGGGAGGATTGATATTGGAAAGTAGGAAGAAAATGTTCAAATGGGAAGGGGATGGAGGAGTGGGAAGGGGGGAAATGAAAGAAGGGAAAAGAGGGAAAAAAAGAATGGAAGGAAAAATTGGAAACAAAGCATTTATAAATGGGGAGGGGAAGAAAGGTTGAAGGGAGGGGGTGGAATGGCAAAAAAAAAAGAGTTAAGCTATGTTATGTACAGGTACAAATTCCCTATGATGAATGTGATCAGTATATATGACAAACATGTACTAATCAAAAAAATAAAGTTAAAAAATTTTTTTAAAACACAGATAATATATTCCGAAAGATATTGTATTAATGCCTCACAATGAATGTAATCATTATGTATTGCAAATAAATATTAATAAAAAGATACCAAAAATTAGTTAATAGAATTTGTTTTTAAACATTGATTTACATTTCAAATTTCTTCTGTACATATATTGGAAAAAATAATTTTGCATATAAGTACAAATAAATGCTTAAATTTTTAAATTTTATCCTCCCATGCTGTCTTTTGAATATATAAAAATGAATGTTTCAGTATTTATGAATTTGGTACAGAGGCTTTGTATCCTTTTACTATTTTTAAAACTTACTTATTGAAGTGTGATATCTAGAAAGCTGTACAAATTTAATGTATGATAGACAGTGAGTTTGGAGACTAGTATATACTGTGAAACAATCCACACCATCAACACCATGATATATCCACCATCTCCCAAAGTTTCTTCCTGCTTCCATTATGATGATGATTATCATTGGTAAGAACACATAATATAAGATCTAATCTCCTAGAAAATTTCAAGTATACAAACTGTATTGTGAGCCATTGGTACTACACGTATACAAGATCTCCAGAATTTTATCTTTCATAACTGAAACTCTGTACTTTTTTGTTTTTGTTTTGTTTTGTTTTTGGTACCAGGGATTGAACTCGGGTCCTTCCGCTTGCAAGGCAGGCCACCAAACCAATGAACTAAATCCCCAGCCCCTGAAACTTTGTACTTATAGGTATTTTTATTGGTATGGAGTTTTATACCAAATTGGAAGATGTATTATGTACAGCATATATTATTGGTATGACAATAAGCAAGTTGTTTATTAGTTGGACTTTGAAGTCCTGAACTGATCATTTTCATCTTCATTTTTGACCTTTCCCAGCAATTTATTATTTCTATTGGTGGTGGTGGTGGTGGTGGTGGTGGTGGTGGTGGTGGTGATAGCAGGAATAAGGATGATGATTGTCTTTATAGTGTTGTGCATGATGTATGGTGAGAACACTTGCAACGTGCCATTATGATTTATTTTTCATCATGTTTTATTTTTATACCTGTGCTTATTACACTGAATGAGACAGCTACTAGCCGGGATGATAGCAGAGCCTGCTTTTCTCTCTGAGTATACTATATTTGCTTTGGATTCCTCCAAACAGCCTAAAACACAGAGTGATACTGTGGTGAGTCCTTCCACCGCTTCCTGCATTCCCTTTGTGGGAAAGCAAAGTAATTTGGCAGTTTTAGAAGCAAATCACATTGCTTGTCACTTACCATCTCTCAAAGCATCTTCATTGACCTGTTGCTAACCCTGCTCTAAATCAGAGTAAATTGCTACATTTTGGTGGCTGGTGTACTTCCTGGTAACTTTATAACAACATCAAATAATACTTTTCACTAATGTAGTGAAGTCTGCCTTCACTTGGTCTAAATGCTTAATTTTTTTCCCTCAAGTGTGTGCTCATTAACTAATAAAAGATAGGAATTTCTAAAAATTTTTGTTTATCTATTGATAGGAGGCCAAGAATATTTTGAGATGTGATCCATATTTTTAGGGAAAAAATTCATTTTTGTGTAAGTCTGTCATTAAACAATATTGGATAGGTAGGTATACTGTAACATAGTTTTATGTTATTTTGCAATTATATCTTACTTTGTAATTACTAGTCCTCTGAATATTAAACATCTGAAAGGAAATAATTATCTAATTTTTTAACTGACTGAATTCACATAGTTTTTAAACTTTGTGTGTAATTTCATTTTGGGAAAGTGAATTCTTTCCCATTAAAAGTTTCAAGTAGTATTATGTAAAGGTACAGATTCTCAGTGATGAATGTCATATTGTATACCTAAAATGTATCAATAAACTTAATAATAAAAAGTTTCAAGTAAAATTGTCATTTAACAAATTAAAATTTAGAAATATTTGCCCAATAAGGATAGCTTTTTAGTGTTAGATTGGATACTGACCTAACTGGGATTGTAGTTAATCTAAACAAGAAGAATTGATTTAACTTGTGTTAGTTAGCTGGTGATAAAAGTAGAACATTTATGTACTTAAACTGTATAGCCAGTAAAGACTTGGCACATATATGACTAGTGGTGGTCTTCAGATACATTCTATACTTGGTTTTAGAGAAGCAAACTCTATAGAGTGAAAATGGGATATCTAGTGATGTCACTGGGAAACATTTCTCTTTTGGCTACAAGTAATACCTCATTGTTTTCAAAGATGATTTGAGAGTTATTTAGGAGTCCCAGTGAGAACTAATCAATTTACTTTCAAGACAGGATACTAGGTTTTGTACTTCACACATAGAAACAGTACAAAATTTTTTTAAAATTTAAAGCTGCTTATAGGCTTCCTCTCAGAAGTACGAACATAAAAAAATTTTTTGTATGAAATACCTATTCTGTTGTAAAAAATGCTACTATGTAGAAGTGGAAGCTTTGTAAGTCTTATTTAATCTTACTTAAATTTTGTATTCTGTTAAAAACTTATTTCTCTCTATGGTACAAAGAAAAACCATAGAATAACCAGCATCATAATACAAATGTACCAGTGACAATTCTGAGTTTACCAGGTGCTGGTTTTCTTTATTTCAGTTTTTAAAAAAATACCTTTTTACCTTGAATTCTAAAGATTATTGTATCTTTAGTCAATAAAATGGTAGAAATAATTGTAGAAATGCCAGGAGTGATGGTATTGTAGCTATAATCCCAGCACTCTGAGAGTATCAGGCACAAGGATTACAAGCTTGAACCCAACCTGGACAACTTAGCTAGACTCTATCTCAAAATTATAAAAGGATTGAGGATGTAGCTCAGTCTCTACTCCCCCTCCCATAAGTTGTAGAAAGATGGAAATAAAGTGTAATTGGAAACACATTTATATGTACTTTTAAATAAATAAACTTTTAAAGGGTTTTCTTGTTATCTATGAATTTCCTCCAGTAGAAAGTATTGACGACTTTGAGTATTGACATGTGTTGAGCTAGTTCTTCAGGCTTCTTCCTGAGAGCATGCCTTGCAAGAAGGAAGTGACTGCACAGTATTTAACAATCACTTACTGAGAGCTTACTACTAGTCAGGCAAAATGTTAGGACCTGGACACCAAGGTGAAAATACAGAGTCCTGTCTTCTAAGAGTTTATAGTTTAATGTGGAGACAAAGATGTCAACATATAGATATAGTTCAAAGAAATCCAGATTTTGTAGGAGAAAATACAAGCATAGGGAAAGTGTTGCCTCTGCCAATGAGGCATATGAATCTTCACAAATGAAGGGGCTTCTTATAGTTGAAAAATGAAGAAGAATTTACCTAGAAGAAATGGAGAACCATTATAGACAAAATCTCAGATTCCTTTAGAGAGTCCTAATTTCAATGTACATGGAATATTAGGCCAGTAGTTTCCTTAGGTGTCTTTCATTTATTTGGATTTGTGATAATAGTACATAAATTAAAACAGGGTTAGAGGAGAAATTTTTAAATACTGTGCTGTGTATGTTTGGTAGGGTGATACTTCAAACAAATGTCAAACAGCTCTTTAACATGGATTACAATCATGTATCAATTCATTTATTTAAAACAGAATGTAGACCATTTTGCCAGTCTTCCTCCTAACCTGTATTATATGGGACTTTTCATTTCCTTTCTTCTGAATTTAACTGCAGCTTCTCAGTATGCTGACTGGCTAAGAGAATTGTCAGTCTTTGTAGAGTGTATTTTGTATTTTATAGTATGTACATTTTTAGGGCTAGAAATCATTCAAAATGATGCATGTAATATGTAATTACTTGAAATGGCAGTGAAGAAGAAGATAGTTAATTTCTGTGTTCTCTCAACCTTTCTTCCTTATGTAACTTTAAGGACTTTTTTGGATTGATAGAATTTTATAACCTTTCGAGGGAGGAGAAAATACTTAAAAGCTTGTTATTAATAAGAACTTAAACATATTACCAAAATAAAAGCAGTAATAGTGGTATAAGAACTCTCTTCTCCCACCTCATATCCACTACCTGGTAGTCAACAATAACTCATTGCCATCCTGTTTATTACCACTCAACTTGCACACTTCCCTTACCACACCCTTGCCACTCTCCCTACACATGCAGCCCACCAGCCTTTGGATATTTGGAACATATTAAAGAAATCTTACGCCAGCTGTAAATGTTTTGGTATAAATCTCTGAAAGATAAGACTAAAATATGTAACGGTACATTTACTTCACCTAAAAATTAATTTCTTACTGTTAAGTACCTGATACATATTCGAAAGTTTGAGAACACTTTTGCCAGGCTGAATGCCTTCTCCCCTTATATTTAAAACAAGTTAGGTCAGATAATTGGCATTTTTTGTCAGCTATAGAAGTAGGAAATAATATAGTTCTTAACTGCCAAGTTCTTGAAACAGTGGTGGGTGCTGACTTTGCTGAAATGCTTTTGCTTAAACCATGGAAGCTATTTTATTATGAGCTACTTCCAAAGTGCTAACAGATTATAGTTAGACACTGTATTAGGAATGCAGTAAAAATTTTTAAATCTGAGAGAATCACATATATTATGAAATCTGTGATGGAATCAGAATGTTTCTGGCTTGGAGCATTTGTCATAGCAACAGAACAAAACAAAACTATTACATGTAGAGGAAGAGATTTTTAATTTAACTTATTCTGAAAGTGATTATAATAATTTCATTTAGATTGCTGGCTTCAAGTGAATGAGGCATTTCCATTTCTTGTTATCAAGATGTTTTTTATAGCTTAGCGTAACTAATTTTAATTTGAATATAACTATTGTAGTGAACAATTGACATTACTTTTTCTGGATCATTTTCTATTTGAATGAGATTTGCTAATTGAATCCTTGTTACTGATTTTTATTGTGGGGAAAAAACTGGGGACGTAATGGGAAGAGGTATGCGATAAGCTTGAGATAAAGTTTGTTACATACTAATCTTTGCCATTTAGCAAAATGAGTTTTCTAAAATCCTTACCGCATTAGTTTTGCCTTGCATGAAAACATTGTGATTAATGGATAATTACTAATTTTGCTTAATACATAAGTTGCCTAATAGGTCTTGGTACCTAGACTTTGTTCTTAACAGTTTTAATGCTTTAGTTTTCTGTGCCTTTTACATTTCTTTCTTTCTTAGAATGCATCTACCCGTGGCACAAAATCTCCCGACAGTGTTAATGGAAGTGAACCAGCCACTCCTCAGGTATGTTACTGATACTAATATTTAAAAAAAAAAGTCATTTCAGAGTATTGAGCAATCTATAGTAATCATTAGCATGTGATTGCATTGAAACAATGGTGTCTAAATATTTGAAACTATATACATACATACATATATATATATATATATATAGAGAGAGAGAGGTTTGTTCATAATTTCTTTCGTTCTTTCATTCTTTCTTTTCTTTTCCTTCCCTCCCTCCCTCCCTTCCTTCCTTTGTTCAGATCAAACTTGGGACCTTGTGCTTGCTAGGCAGGTGGTGGAACCATTGAGTTAAAACCCGAGCCCTGTTCGTAGTCTTTTGGGGAAAACTTCTACTTGTACGAAAGATTCCATTATCCTCATTTTAAAAATTAATGATAGTAAAGTGAAAACTTTGAAAAAACAAAATCTGATTTTATAGTTGTAAAGGATTAAGGAGATAGCCATTGGACAGACACATTGAGTTGTGTAATATGAAGAGGAGTGTGAAAAAAATGAGACTTCTTTGTTGTCATGCAGAGTATTTTACTATGGCAGAATTAAGGTTATCCTTGATTTTAAAAAGTTACGTGGAAAGTGAGGCTCAAATGACAAGTTTTGGACCTCTTCTAAAAAAAGAAAGAAAATCTTAATGATACTAGTGTCTGAAGCAAATGTGTTTATGTTGGTTTTCGTGATGCCTGTTATCAGTAAAGGTTAAGGTTCAACTGAAAAAATGTACATTAAATACCTAATTTGTAAAAAGCAACATGGCAAGGATACAGAAAGAAAATGGAGTCTGTTCTAAGAGCATTGAAGTCTCTGGGGTAAGGGGGTTTGTGCAGCAGACACAATAGGAAAACTCCCTGAGGTCTAACACATTTAAGGTACTATTCAAAGTATTTTATTTGTTTGTTTGTTTGTTTTTGGTCCTGAGGATCAAACTCTGGTCCTTGCACTTGCAAGGCAGGTGGTGGCTGAACCACTGAGCTAATCTCCCGACCCTATTCTAAGTATTTTAAATGCTTTCAGCTCATTTAATCCTTACAACAGTCTTATTATGGTATTATGGTAATGCCATTGTCCCCATTTTGGATGGATTCATCTGAAAGGACTCTTCTCCCCTTTATTTTCTTGTGTCCCCGCTCACCTTCCCTATCCTTGCCACTTGCCTTTCCATTCTAGAAAGGAAAAAAGATCAAAGACAAGGATAAAGGATATATTCTGTTAGGAAAAAAATAACTGTCCCAAAAGTTTCTGTCCAATAGATTTTTTTCTCACAATGTATATCATTACACTTAGATGGCTTCACTCTTAGCCAAAAACATCTAAAAAGAGCTAATTAAAAAAATACATAGTTGAAATGTAACATCATAGTTTAATACACATACAGAAAACTTTACATTCATTTTATAAATATTTCTCAGAAACAGATTACTAGCACCTTTGGAGCCCTTGTTGTAGGTACCTCTCTAGTCCTTTCAATTCCAGGGATAACCACTATTCTGGCTTATAACATTAAAGGTTAATTTTCCATTCTTTGAACTTTATGTAAATGGAATTAAAAATGGGTACTCTCCAGGTGTGGCACACCTGTACTCCCAGCACTCGGGAGGCTGAGGCAGGAGGATCACTGTGAGTTTGAGACCAGCCTGGGTTATATAGTGGGTTCCAGGTCAGCCTCAACTACATAGTGAGACCCTGTCTCAAAAACAAAACAAACAAAACAACAACAACAATAACAAAAAATGGGTACTCATGTGTCTGGCTTCTTTTGCTCAGTAGTATATAAGAGTTATCTTTTTTGTTGTTTATAGTAATAAATCATTTTCATTGTTGTCTGGTATTCCATTGGTGAACAGGATTATTGTCTAGAATTCTATTGGTGATTACCTTTTTAAAAAAATTCCTTCTGTTGGAATTAATGAGAGTCTTGAGTTTGGGGTTATTTTGAATAATGTTGCTGTGAACTTTTAGTTGTCCTTTACTGATTGGTCATATTTACACATTTCATCAGTATACATTTGGAATTGTACATACTGCTTCAGAGAAGGTGTTTGTGTTTAGCTTTAATATAAATTGACAGATTATTCTTTAACAAATGTTGTACATTCTCATCAACGCTGTGTATTTTCTATAGGTTTAATTTTAGCTACTCTGGTGGATGCAGAGTGGTACTTCATTATGGCTTTAGTTTGTATTTGAAGAGGTGACTACTTTACCAGATCGTATTGTTACACTGGGTGTGGTAGAAGGGAAGATTAGATATCAGGTGATAATATTCATTGAGTATTTACCTCAAGTCAGTCATGGTTTTAGATATTTCACATATATTAATATTTTCACAGATATCCTAAGAAGGGAATATTATAGTTATCCTTATCATATATAGGTAAAAATAGAGGCACAGAGAGGTTAAGTAACGTGACCAAAACCACATCACTAGTAAATGGTAGGGTTAACACTTGTATCCAAGAAGTTTAGCTTCATAGCCTGTGCTGTTTGCTCTTATATCTATAAAAATCTGCTACCTAAGCTTTGATGACATTCTTTCTTTTTCTGTTTTAATCTCCTTTTTCTATAATGATAATGTTAGTTACCATTTGCCATATTGTAAGCACTTTGTATGTATATTAATTCAGTCTTTGTGGCAACCATACAAGGTACATGGAATTGCCATTATCATCTTTATCCTCATTTTACAGAGGGACAAATAGAACTAATGAGGTTAACAAACTTGCTTAAGATCATATAGAGGAATAATAGTGGAGTCACGATTTGAACTTTGGTAATCTAGCTTGACAGCCCACAGTCTAAATCACTCTCCATTACAAACTTACTCCCAGGTATGACTCAGTGGTAGAGCACTTGCCTAGTTTGTCCAAAGCCCTGGCTTCAATCTCTAACACCAAAAAAAAAAAAAAAATTAACTTTCAATCATAGATGTGGTAGCTAAGTTTGTGAGCATATGAAGATATGTGTGTTTGATAGTGTTCGCTAGCTTCTAGCAGACCCTAACATATCAGCTTTTTCTGCTGTTTTTCAGAATTGCTTACCTGTTTATCCTAGGGCAGTGATGGTGAACCAATGGCATTAATGCTGCAATGGGTTGTTGGTGTCATTGAAAGACCTAAAAGGCTCAGCATCATGGACCTAGAGCATTTTAGGGGACAGTTTCTGTTGTGAATTGAAAAGTATTTTTCACATGGGTCGGGAGTGATTGGTGATTAAATTAACAGTTAAGTGTTTGAGCATGAAGGTTTCTTCTCTTCTTTCATACTTCCTACCCCCCCCAAGATATAAAGGTAAAACTTACACACTATGAAAAAAGCAAAAAAGCACAGAAAAATATAAAATCCACCAAAAATCCTACTGCTTAGAGACACTTTAACTTGTTTGTATGTGTTCTTCGTCTGTTTTTCATATATATACTTCCACAAACACCCTTAGACTATGTGTGTGTGTGTGTGTGTGTGTGTGTGTGTGTGTAACTAAAAATGAGTATTTAATAGTATAGCTAGAGCCTCTTTCTTCTATTTATATTACAAACTTGTGTGCATGTGAAGGTGCTCTGTCATGTTATCACTTACTTCCACCTTGCCATATACTACAGTTAAATATCTAAAACTCATAGTAAAATATTTGTTTTGATTTTTTCATATTGTATATTAAAGAGAACATTTTTGTTTTCTAGTAGTCTTTGACTACATATGACCTTAGTCTCCCCTGAGCATTTCACTTCTGGCCTCTTTTTTTTTTTGTGGCACTAGAGATTGGAACTTACTGAGGGCCTTGTGCATATGAGGCGAGCACTCTACCACTGAGTCACCCCCCTCCCCTTGGTGTCTTTAAAATCTTCCCAAGTGACACACAGTTGCACTAATGAAAATGAGTTTATATGAAACACCTTTTATATACTGACTGCTGTGAGCTGAACCAAATAGTCTTGCTTAAAACAATTAGTTGATTTATGTTGTATTTTTTTATTGTTAATTTAAATTAGAGAAAAGAACAGTTCTTGCTTATCACTATTTTTAACATCTGGCTTACCATTCTGTGCAGAGGATCCCTAACTCATGCTGTTCAACTGTTTTCCATGATTGTTAATGCTTATTTTTTTCTCAATCGACAGAATGGTTAAGTAGGGCAGAGTTATATATCACTACTCAACTTTGGGTCATATTCCCTTTTTAATCAATACCCATTGACTCATTACATATTATGTTCGCCTTTCTCTCATTTCCCTATTTTTGGTTGAGAAGAAAGATCAAGAATCACCACTTGGGGCTGGGGATTTAGCTCACTGGCTCTGCCGCCTGCCTTACAAGCCCAAGGACCCAAGTTCAATCCCCACTACCAAAAAAATCACCACTTAATAAAGACTTTTCAGATGAAGTCTTCTTGGATTCCGTCACACATTTGATAGTATGTATCCACATTGTAGGCATTGGGCAGATAGTGGTGATGCCACTTAAGGATCTTAGAGTCAAGTGGATGAATCCTCACAACACACCTATGGGCTCAGTGGGGAAGAGTGGCTTCCTTTTTTCTAACAGATGTGCAAACTGAAGGAAAGTGACTTAGTAGAGGTTTGTACTGCCAGGTGACAGACCTGAGACCTACACCTTACTCCTCTGACAGAAATAACTAGTTGTCTTTTGTTTTTCAGAAAAAAAAAGTGTGAGGATATAAATTGAAATTTTTAGAGCTTTTAGCAGTTTATTGCTGGTAATGGGGAATGGGTATATTTTAACCCACATATTCTGTTGGGTTTTGGTTGCAGTCAGGTGATACACAGAGTTTTGCACAGAAGCTCCAGCTCCGGGTGCCTTCTGTGGAGTCTTTGTTTCGAAGTCCAATAAAGGAATCTCTATTCCGATCTTCTTCAAAAGAGTCTTTGGTACGAACATCTTCCAGAGAGTCCCTGAATCGACTTGACCTGGACTATTCTGCTGCCACCTTTGATCCACCCTCTGATATGGAGAGTGAGACAGAAGACTCAATGGGGAATTCAAGCAGTCTCAACAAAGAACAGTTGATTCAGCGACTGCGAAGAGTAGAGAGAAGCTTAAGTAGCTACAGAGGAAAATATTCTGAGGTAAAAGCATGACTATTTTACCTGTACAAAATTTTCTTTCTCTGTTCTATCATTCATGATACTCTGCTGACCTTACTTCTGTGGTTGGTTGAGCTATTGATGCCCTAGATACCCTGATTACTAATGGTGGGTAGGCTGTGGCAATACCTACTAGTTAGACTTTCAGTGGTACTGAAGCTCTTTGGCAAGACTCTTGGTAAAATGCTGAAGATTGTCACCTGTAACCTTCTGGTTCTCAGGTTCTGTATCCCGTCAGTCTTATCCTATAACATGAGTAGTTTCAACCTTACATCCAAAACCAAACCAAAACAAAACTTTGATGAAATATACACAATATTTTCTTTAAGGTATAAGGTGCTGACAGAATAGAAACTATAAGCCTTATGTGGAGACTGGCTGGAACATAGACATGTAAACAAGGTATTAAAGCCATATATCTCCTGATGAGCTTGTAGAATCAGACAAATTTTTCTTTAGAATTTTTAAAACTTTTTCTATTGAAGTTATTAATGGCCTTTAATTTTTTAATAACTATGTTGTTTTCACTAACCCATATGAAGCTTGCCAGCAGAGTAAATTAGTATTTAAGTATGACAGATGCTGTGAAGTTTGTACGTACATACGTATGTATATATATATATATTATGTATTTCTTTCTTTCTTTATTTGGTATTGGGGATCTGACTCAGGACCTTTGCGCTTGCCAGGCAGGTGCTGTGCTGCTGAGCTGCATCTCTGACCCAGAGTTTGTATTTATAATGTCATTTATTTTGTACTGTCCTTATAAAGTCTATGTTAATTAGCTCTATTTTGTAGAAATGACTTTAGAAACTCATAAAGATAAGTAACTCAAGGTCACACAGCAGTTGAGAGAGTATGGATTTGATTCTAAATCAATTTGTTTTTATTATTCTGTGCTATCTCAAAGTTAAGTAGTTTAAGGGAAAAAAAAAAAAAGAGCCCATAGGCTTTGTCTCTATTTCTCCTTAGCACTGTAATTAACTAGGATGAACTGGTGTTATGGACAAAACATAGTTCTTGGGTTACTTTTCCTGCCTACTCCACCTTTTTTTTTTTTTAAGCACTCCTGTCATTTTTGGTAATAAGAGAGGGCTCCTGGTCTTAGGTAGATTTTTTTGGGGGGATGTGGTACTGGAAATTGAACTTGGGACCTTGAGCTTGCAAGGCAGATGGCAGCTCCACTAGCTAAATCCCTGGTCCAGTTTTTGTATTAAGTCTGTTGCTAGACTTGTCTTCCTTTGCCATCAGTAGTGGCATTTGGGGGCACACAGCAGCTTTCCAAGAAAAATGGCAGGCCTCATAATAGGAGGTGCTTCCTCCTGAAGCTGCCACCTGACTCGTCAGAAATACTAGTACTTCTAAAGTAGAGTTCCAGTAATTCATTGGAGCCATGTGCTTAGTTTGTGGATATGTAATGTTTAGAATTTACATGGTTAAAACTTTTGTTAATCCATAATTTTATCAAGTTGTGCAGGGATGTTTACCCTATTTAGATTAAATCTCTCTTTAGGACTTAAATTAAAATTTCCATGTGTTGGTTATAAGCTTCTTTCCTCAGATATTTGCAGAGCCATAGTGACAGATCTTGAAACCAGAAGAAACTTCTAGAGATCAGTTATCTGGTCTAGTACAGACCAAAGCAAAAACTTACCTGGAATCCTCTTTAAAACACAGATTCCTATTTCTTTACCCATTGTAACCCAATTCTTTGTCAGTTTGACTTAGAGCTCCAGAATTTCTGTTTCTAGCAAACTCCCAGGTGCTGATATAGTCTGTGGCTACATCATGTAGTTTGAGTAACCTTATGCTTTTAGGCGATATCTTAGTTACTTTCTCATTGCTGAGAGGAAATACCTGACATTCATAAGTTAAAGAGAAATTTAATTTAGCTCACAGTTTGTAGAGGTTTAGTCGGTTGGCTCCCAGGCAAGGTGGAATGGTAAAGTAAAGGTCATGGTAGAGGAGAAATAGAACATGGCCTGACAGGCAGGAAGCACAAGACTTCCTTCTTCTTTCCCTTTTTATTCCATCCAATCTGTAAGCCTATTGGTTGGTGCCACCGACACCCAAGGTGGGTCTTCCCTCTTCAGAAAATCCATCAGACATATCTAGAACTATGGTAAACCAATTGGTGGACTAATCCAGCACCACATCCATGATCCAGTCACTCCCAAAAGCCTCATCTATGAGTGCGTGAGGCTGTGGGGGAACATCTAGATATAAGACATAACAGGAAAGTTGGCTTCCATCCTTACCTATGAAGTAGGTCCTGAAATCTAAAGTCATATGGAGATTCAATGTTGTGTAGTCAAATTACATTTTATATTTAGAAATATATTTTCCATGTTACTTTTACTTGATATGCATTGAATTAGGTTGTAGGTTCAAATGTCTAGAAAGGATCTTTCAAAAATTTTTTTTACTTTTAAAGAGATAATTTAGAAGAATTTAAATAATCAGTTGCATTTATTGAGTAATACCTAATGCTATTGATGACTTTATTTTAGCTTGTTACAGCTTATCAGACTCTTCAGAGAGAGAAGAAAAAGCTACAAGTAAGTGATTTATTGAGCCATATAATTATAAAATTAGAAAATACTTAATAGAAAGATATTTCTAACCATTCCTTTGGGGGGGGTAGTGAGGATTTAACTCAGTACCTTGTACTTAGGAGGCAGGCGGCAGTGCCACTGAGCTAAATTCCCAGCCCTAACCCTTCCTGTTTAAATTTTCCATATGATCACTGTATTTAACCCATTCTACCATTACTGGAGATCTTGATAAAAAGAGGAATGAGATAGCCTAGGGATTTTTATCTCTGTTGTGGAGGGGCTTCCTTGAGTTACAGATCCTCACAGTGTTTAATAAGTTTGGATTTAAGCCATATTTGCCCCTTTCAAACTCATTTCCTAGTATTTCAGTCTGCAGGACGTTTCTTCTTTATTTAGTAGTAAAGAGATAACCAACATTCTTTCTTTAATTTTTTTCTTTCTTTAGTTTTTTTTGTTTTGTTTTGTTTTTTTGAAACAGAGTCTCACTATGTAGTTGAGACTGACGTGGAACTCACTATGTAGCCCAGGCTGGTCTTGAACTCACAGCGATCCTCCTGCCTCAGCCTCCTGAGTGCTGGGATTACAGAGATGCACCACTACAGCCAGCTTTTCTTTAGTGTTTTATTTTTTGTGTTACCAGTGATCAAACCAAGGGCCTTGGGCATGCTAGTCAAGGGTTATTCCACTGAGCTGTATTCCCAGCCCGTATACCCAATTTTCTATTAATTTTCATCTGAGTTCTGATTACAGGCATGCACCACTACAGCCAGCTTTTCTTTAGTGTTTTATTTTTTGTGTTACCAGTGATCAAACCAAGGGCCTTGGGCATGCTAGTCAAGGGTTATTCCACTGAGCTGTATTCCCAGCCCGTATACCCAATTTTCTATTAATTTTCTTTTGATTCTTGAATATGTATCTCTGATGTCTGCCGTCATCTTTGTGTTTTGTCATTATAACAGGGTCCAAATGTAAAGCATTCTTTGTATTAGGTTAGTAGTTTTCAGAGGCTGCTGCTTGTAAAGCTCTTGGTTAAGTATATGGGTATTCAATCTATTAAAACTCTTCTGAGAGACTCATCTTGGGCCATGTGATTATTCACACATCAGAGATAGGGGAAATATCCACTCCAGTTCAAATGGTGCCACCAGTTTGGTTTCTTTGGTTGTGTGTGTGTATTAAATACAGTTTTATTTATAAAAGTTATTTTGAACAGTTTAACGTTTTGTGCTATTGAAGCTAATTATGTAGATAGAAGTTGATTTATTTGTAAAATGAATTTTGGTAAAAATTTCCCCAAGTATCTCTTCTTCTCTCCCTTCCACCCACTCTCCCACTCTCCCACTCCCTATCTCATTGTCTCAAATATAAAAGATATTGGAGTCAGAATTCAGTGATTTACACTCCTTTCTATATGTGCACATGTCCGTGTGTGCCTGTCTAGACTCCTTTTTCTTAAATATACTTTCAGTATATCCAGTGAAATTAAAATTGTAAGTACTGCTAACAGTTACTAATGCCGTTCATACTCTTTAACATTTGTTGAGCTTTTACTATGTGCTAGGCATTGTGTATTTAGTTCTTGTCCCTCTCATGAAGAAACTAAGGAAAAGTAACTTGTTCATTGTTTCAGTGTGTAAGAAGCAAGTGAGAGAAGGGGAATCACCAGCTTGCATTTAGCCTACAGAGCATGTGCTTCTAAATGCTGGACTACAGTTTCTCACTTTTCTCAGCATTGCATCTTTGTGCATTTAAAATTTTGTATTTGACACCAGGCAAAACCTGTATTCATGGCTTTAGGGGGGAAAAGACTTTGGTTTCTATTTAGTCACTTACATGACCCTCTAAAAACAACCTAGGTCATATTCCACTGATCAGAAGCAGCTACAATATGGGCTACTAATTTTTTTTTCTTGAGGTAGTGGGGATTCATCCTAAGGCCTCACATATGAGAGGCATGCACTCTACCACTGAGCTATATCCCCAGTCTTTATTTTTTGAGACCAGGTCTCACTAAGTTGCTCAGGCTGGCCTTGAACTTGCAGCTATTCCAAGTTTCTGGTTATAGCTGTATACCACCAAGCCAAGCATGTCTATGTGTTTTAATAAATGTATAGTTAGTTGTGTAACCACACTCATAGACAGAATGTAGAGGGGTTCTGTAATATCATGAATTAATTTTCAACAAAATCTCAATATGTTCACATCCTTAACTTATTCAGTCCTGTCCTCCATCTTCAGGTTATTTGGATAATTGGTTATGGTATTTAAAAATAATTATTAAAAAACATTTCTTTTGCATTGCTGTTCTATGCAGATGTTTAATCAGCTGTTTTTTTAATTAAAGGGTATATTAAGTCAGAGTCAGGACAAAGCACTTCGGAGAATTGGAGAATTAAGAGAGGTAAGTTTTAGTGATTAATATGTCGAAAATAATAATTGTTTCCCGTATTTGTCAGAATCATTATACATGGTAGGATCATTTTATGAGCATATAATTAATTATGAGGGTAACTGATCAGTCTAGCCTCCAAACTCACAGATCAGTTCTTGGAATTTTTATTTATGTGGTTCTTTTAAAATAAATATTTAGTTTTAGATCAAGTTATTTTATGGGCTGGGGATTTAGCTCAGCGGATCGGTGGCCTGCCTTGCAAGTACAAGGACCTGAGTTCATTCCCCGGTACCAAAAAAAAAAAAAAAAAAAAAAGTTTTATGATAACACAAAGCAGTATGATGTTTCATAGTTTTATCTTCTTTGTTTTTCTTTCTGCATTACTGTTATCGATTAAGTAATTATCACAGCCCCAGAAAATACACATTTTCTTCTTGACTCTTTAAATTCATTAAGTAAAAAGATCATTATTTGTTGGTGTTAATGACTTAAATGTTGATTATCCTTTATTATTGTCGATACTGTATCATAAAATATACACAAATCTATATTCATGTTTTTAAGCTTTAAAAACTTTAGTTTGTATTTGTTGTCCTATTTTGAAAATAACTTCTAAAATCTTTTAGGAGCTTCAAATGGACCAACAAGCAAAAAAACATCTTCAAGAGGAGTTTGATGCATCTTTAGAGGAGAAAGATCAGTATATCAGTGTTCTCCAAACTCAGGTAAAAGAGTAAAGATGTGGAATTTTTTAATAAGAAAAATAAAGGAGTTTTGATAGGCTAAGGGAACCACATTTTTAATATACATTTATATGTGTGTATGTGTAAAGCGATGGAGAGGTAATTTAAAAAACTGATTTTCTTCTATTTTAAGGATGATTTTTTTGTTTATTGTATCTTTTTACTATGATATCATATAAAAACCAGTTGTCTTGGGAATAAGCTTTGTATGTGATTTTCCTCCCAGTATAGTAAAAAGCAGTATTGTTTACTGTAGCCCCTTAATGTTTTAAAGAAAGTACTTCTGCCATAGTTTGTTTTTTTTTTTTTTTTTTTTTTTTTTTAAATTATTTCTAAATGACGTACTTTTCTCTAGGTTTCTCTCCTAAAACAAAGGTTACGAAATGGCCCAATGAATGCTGAGGTACTAAAGTCACTCCCTCAGATGGAACCACAGGCTGAATCCTTCACTGAAGAAGAGAACATGGAAGGTGGTATAGAACCAGAAGGTGAGTTTCATTTTGTCAAAAATTTAACATGAAAACTAGGAGAAAAGAGAGATTCTGGGATGTGAGCTGATGGAACTTGGCTACCATAGGAATAATCTGCCTTTGAAAGTAATATTTCCACAAAGATGCAGAAGTGTTTTGTTTTTTATTCTTTCTTGTCTTTCAGGAGAAAATAAATAATTGTATATAGTACCACATTTTCTTTCTTTTTTTTTTTTCCTCTTTTTATTGAGTTTATTGGTACATTTTAGGTATATAGTACAGTTACATTCATTATTGGGATCTTGTACCTTTACGTGACAGGTCTTGATTCTCATTTTTTCCCCTTGTCCCTGCCCTCCCTTCACCCCCCGCCACATTTTCATTATAACAAATTATTGTTACACTTTCTTGGTAGCAGTAGCTAGATATGATATAAACAGGTCAGCTTTAATAAATTAATAAACATGCTAATTATATTTACAGAGGTATTTTAGTTTTGTTTTTTAACTGGGTAAGAATAGCCAAATATTATCTTAAAATTCAATTATTGCTTTCCCTATTTTTTGTCTTTGAGGTACATAGGAAAATTTTCACTTTTAATTTCCTAGACTTTTCTCTCAGACAGACTTACAATAAACTTTTGATCTGGTCAAAGCCTGCGTAAATTGCTGAGCAACTAGCTATCTCAACAGCCTACTACTAGGGGTCCTAAACTGAAAATTTCGCTCAAATGTGGGGAGATGCAGAAAGCTTTGCTTAGTAACACTCTTCATAGAAAGAGATTAAAATGTGGTTAGGAAGAGCACTTTATTAATCCTTTTCAGATGGAAGCTAAGACAAAGTGGATAATTTTTTTTGTTTTTTTTGAGACAAGGTCTTGCTGTGTAGTTTGGGCTGGCCTTGAGAGCTCGCTATGTAGCCCAGGGTGGTCTCAACCTAATGGTGATCCTCTTTCCTCTGCCTCCCAAGTGCTGGGCTTACCGCCAGATACCACTATGCCTGGTGAAGAGGATAATTTTTAATAATAAAAAGCGATTATCAAACTTTCTTTATGGGTAGATTAAATTAATGTTATTTAGTTACTGTGCCATTCCAGGAATGGGTTGAACCACCAGAAAGGTGACTGCACTACTCATCATTTTCAGCAAAATATCAAATAAGTATTAACATTTCCTTATTATCTACCTGAGTTGTCCTGTCTCTTTTTGATCTGGCTCATAGTATAACCAGGATTTTGTTTAATAAAACACTCCTGTAGCAAGGTGTGGTGGCATATGTCTGTATTCCAGCACTTTTCTGGGCTAAGGCGAGAGGATTGCAAGTCCAAGTCCTGCCTGGGCACTTTAGCAATGCCCTGCCAGAAGCTAAAAAGTAAAAAATGCGTTGTGGATAGATCTCAGTGTGAAGGCCCAAATTCAATCCCCAATAACCCCCTCCCCCAATAAATAAACTCTCAACCTATGTGCACAAACACATGTACACACACACATGTACACACACGTGTACACACGCACGTTCCTGGGGCTGGGAGTATAGGTCAGTGAGAACATGCACAAAGCTGTAAGTTCAATTCCCAGCATAAAAAAAGAAAATAGACTTTTGCCTACTAACAGAAAAAATTAGTCCTTGAATTATATTTCTTACTGATTGTTCTGCTTATGCTGCTTTATTGGTAGTGGGAGATAGTGCTTCTGCTAAAATACTGGAAACACTTCAGCAAAGAATTAAGCGTCAAGAGAATCTACTTCAGCGTTGCAAGGAAACCATTCAGTCACATAAAGAACAGTGTACGCTATTAACCAGTGAGAAAGAAGCACTGCAAGAGCAACTTGATGAAAGACTTCAAGAATTAGAAAAGATGAAGGTAAAAAAAGCAAATGAGAGGGCTGGGGATTTAGTTCAGGGATTCCGGCACCTGCCTTGCCAAGTGCAAGGACCCAAGTTCAATTCCCGGTACCAAAAAAAGAAAAACAGTTTTAGGGCTGGAGATTTAGCTCAGTGGTTCCACTGTCTGCCTTGCAAACTCAAGGACCTGACTTCAATTCCCAGTACCAAAAAAAAAAAAAAAAAAAAAAAAAAGAAAAAAAGAAGGAAAGAGCAAATGGGTTTTCTTCTATTTAATGACGTAAAGCTAGACCCACAGGCTACAGCATACCCTGTACCACTTCTGAGAAAAGCCTTCTTTCATTCTCCATAGACAGGATGGAGAGAGTATCCTTGTTTGGGCATTAAAAGGCCCTGGGCTTCATAGTATTTACTTTATTTCCAAGACTTCCTATGTACTTTTCTTCTACTAGATTTTTAGATGTATCTGAATTAGCTAAGATTAAAGAGTTCTTACATGAGGAGAACCTTTATTAGAGATGGAAATGAATTTTTAAAAATTTTTTAGGATCTTCATATGGCTGAGAAGACTAGACTTATCACTCAGTTGCGTGATGCAAAGAACTTAATTGAGCAGCTTGAACAAGATAAGGTAAAACAACAAACTTATGATACTAAAATTTGTCAGAGGACCCCAGAATTCATTTTACAAAGCAGTTGGAAGCATTCATATTCCTGCTTTCCCAAATTATTGCCTCTGTTTCCAGGAAAAGTCTTTAAATTTCTAGATTTAATTACTAGCATTAGTTCTGTATCATGTGAAGCTGATTGTCTGTCTATAATTTCTTGATTCCAGTCAGCATTTTAATAAATAGATTTGAATAATTTTTTCCAAGGAAATCTATGTTTATAGTTCATATCTAGTTTTTAGAGAAAATTTAAGTTATAGTGAAAGCATTCTAAATATGAGTGATTTCAGTGTATTCTTTCAGATATTATGGGGAACGAATTAATCTGTCAGAGAAGTTGCCTGGAAAGTAAAGAAATGATAATGTGTATATTACCATAAGCAAAAATTTCTACAAATGGATTTCAGAGTATGTATGGAGACTAGAGGATTGAGAAGGGGATGAGTCTTATCCTTGGTGGTTTGGAATTGGAACGGCAATATTGACCTGTCTTTCAGCCTCAAGTTCTTGGGTCCTTTTTAAAATCTACTCCTAGTTTGTTCTACACCATCTGTCATTTTTCTTAACGATGGCTTACAGCTACAGTGTTTTATATATCTTTAAAACAAAGTGCTCTTTTTATAAAAATATAGCCACATTATCATGATTACATCTAACAGTTTAATAATTTTTATACAACTTGATATCTAGTTTCAGATTTCCCTATTCATACATTTTTTTTTATTATTCATGATCCAAACAAATTTCTTTCATTGCAATTGATCAGTCTCATTCTTAAGACTCTTTTTACTCAATGGATTCAAGTGTCCTCTCTTTTTCTATTGTGATTTGGTTTTTGAAGGCCTACAATTTTGTTTTGAAACTTTTTATTAACAATGCTTCCCTGACTTGGTTGTGATCTATTAATAATAGCCATCTGGAAGAATCGTACTGTAAAGCAGGGCTCAGCAAACTCTGTAGGTAAAGTAATCATCTTTTAAGATCATAAAATAGCTGTCGCAAAGTCTACACTTTTCAAGAAAAAATTTGAACTCCATTTTTTCTTAGTCCCAAATTATTGATTTATTATATAATAATTTGGCTATCTTTTTCCCTTTAGTGACCTTCATTCTAGTGTAGATTATCCACAGAGAGGGAACAGAAGCAACTAGCAAATTGGAGGAATGGGGTGCCTTACTGACAGTAATAAGGAGGAGTAGTGGTGGGACTGCAGACAGTCACAGGAGGAAAGAGAAAAAACAGGTAGATCCCATCCTGCAGTCTTGTCTTGCTCCATCCAATGTGGCAGCAGGAACCATACCCTTTGAGCAGTCTCCGGGATTATCTGCATGTTACAGGCTGGCTTAATAATTGTAGTTCATTATGATTCAGAGCCAAGTTCAGAAGGCTGTATTTTGTTCATTGTAAACTAATAAGATGTGGAAAATTACAGCACAGTTATAGAAAAGTTATAAAATAAATAGTTCAACTAAAAATATGTTTTAGTGCTTAAAAGGTTAAAGTTACTATTAAAATAATTTTTACTTTAAAAATACCCTGGAACCATGCCAGGTAACTAAGGCACAGAGCAAAACATGGACTCTATTCCTGAAACACTGAAATAATTCTTATGCTGTACTTAGAAATATTTCTATGCCTTTTGAATTAAGTTTTATCTGTGCTTGATGATGTAGTTTTGTTATACAAATGCTTTAGAGTCTGCACTTCTGTTCAGGGAATGGTAATAGCAGAGACAAAACGTCAGGTGCACGAAACATTGGAACTGAAAGAAGAAGAAATTGCTCAACTTCGTAGTCGAATCAAACAGATGACCACCCAGGGAGAGGAATTACGGGAACAGAAAGAAAAGTCTGAAAGATCTGGTAAGAACTCAGGAGTTGTTTTACGTTGAAGGTCAAAAGTCTTGTAAAGTGTTTTCCAATTGTCTAAAAATTATATACTGATAAAAATGCTTCACTGTAGATACTTTTATAAGACAGCAAACTGCTCATTAGAGAGGGTAGGGGTCAGGAACCTATGGCCTGTGGGTTAAAGCTAGCACATGTTGGGCTATGTACCAAGGCTGAAAGTGATTTTTATGTTTTCAAATGGTTCAAAAAAGAAAGAGTGATAGAGCTTATAAGTTGCCTCTAAAACAAAATAGTAACATTTGGCCCTTTATGGAGAATATTTACTGACTATGGTCTTAGGGTATCAAAACTCAAAATTAAAACTTAGGAACCTAAATAGGTATTGTATGCTGCTTATTAAATAACAGCTTCCTTCTAGTTGCTCTAGGGTGAGCAGAAAGCATAAAGTGTAGTTCACTTTGAAAGGGATAATGAACAATTCAGTGTCATATGTAATATGTCATACCATTATGTTTTCACACAATATGTACTAAGTTGTAAAGATTAGAGGGCCATGTAGTGCAGTGTGATGAAGGATTCACCAAGGTACAGTGTTGAGTAATGCTGGAAAAGGAGACATGTTAGAAAGAGGAGGGAGCAGGGTGAGCAGATCATTCAGGTAAAGAAGCTTGTGAGTTTTGAGTTGGGCCTCAAATAATGAGTAGAGTGTCCCTAAACCAAGAGGTAGGGACAGGAAACATTTTAGTTGCTACAAGACCAGAAACAGGTTGCAGTGATCGTAGAGAGTGTGTGAATCAATTGGAAGTCATTTTTGCTAAAGTGGGAAATGAAGTTGGGTCGTGAAAGAACTGTTAGAATCTTAAAAGGTGAGTAGCTACATTTGGACTTTGTTATACAAAGCAACAGAAAACCAGTAATAGGAAATGTAGCAGGAGCTGTTTTATGTAGAAAATAAATGAAGTGGAAATCAAACTTGGAAGTAAAACAGAAGTCCAGATTTGAGAGACTTAGAATTTTGGCTACTTTGATTAGGATGGTGGTTCCAAGAAGGAGAGGAAAGATAGAAGCTGTAGAATTTGATGTTTGATCAACTTGAAAGGGCAGATGATCCAGAGTTTTGAGCTGAGAAGACTAGATGAATAGAGTGGAGTTAGAATAGGGAATCTAAATGGGGAAATTGAAGATTGGAATCAGATGATGAATTTGTTTAGGAACTTTGATACGGTTATAGCTTTTCAATTCAATGAAATTGACTTGTAGGCATTTGGAATTAAGAAACTGAAACATCTTTTAGCAGTTATTAAATTGGGGTTGACTTCTCCAAATCTGTATGAGAAGCTGATTTCTCCAAAAAAGTAATACTTAAAGTTACTGATAGTAACAGCCATTGTGGTTGGCCCTTGCTGCTGCTGCTGCTCCTATAGCCACTATTAATAATACTATTAGCACTTATTTTAGCAAATCTTTGTTATCAGTGCTTTATTTGTATTTAGTCCTTATAATTCTATGAAATAGTACTAATGTTCTTATTTTACAAATAAGACTTAACACAGAAGTTATATAATTTGTCTGCATTCATGTACAGTGTGTTAGGTATGTAGTTAGGATTTTGGTTCAGGCATGTGGTTCCAGAGTCTATGTTCTTTTACCATAGAAGCATTGAGTTTGGTAGAGACAGATAAAGGAGAAAAAAGAAATCATCATAAGGAATCAGGAATTTTGAATATTTATTTGGGGGATATAAGAGATATTATGGTAAGTAGAGAAGGCAGGGTGAAGACTTTGAAAAGGTCTTTGAATTTGGTGAGGATTTGATTTCCAGGGTACAGTTTTGAGAATTGATTTTAGAAACCAGATTGTAACATCTTAAGGAGGGAAATAGGTCTGGATGAGAGAGAAATGGTTATTAACATCATCTGTGTTGATAAATTTTCTCCATCTCATTGCAGTTGTTTTCTGGATAAAGTGGTTAGGGACTCTATAAAAGTATTCTCCTAAACCTAAAGAAATTTCCCTTCAGAAAAAGTTAATGGACAGCAACCTTCAGAATATAATCTCAGAAGACATTCTTGAAGCAGCTCTAGTTGTGAAACACTTTTAAATGGGTTTGTTTTGAGTGAACAGAAAATCCAGTCTCAGCTTCTCGTATATTTTTAGAGTTGCTTTTTGTTGACTCTTGTAATTGGTCAGGAGGAAATAATATTGGCCAGGGGATTAAATTATTTTTTTAAAATTGGATATACTTTACGACGAGGTAGAAACTGTTTGAATAAATATCAACTTGAAAAGGTAAATGATGAAAAGGTAGGTAAAGGATGCAGTTAATTCACAGTGTGGATGAAATTTACCCAGATAACATTTCAGTGAAATCTTTAGTAATACAACAACTTTCTTTGATTTGCATTTTTAAAACAGATTTATTTTGTCTTAAAATGTAATTTTTGTGAAACTGTGTGCACACATGCGTGCGCGCACGCACACACACACAGAGTCATGTTTTGGTGCCGAAGGCTGAACCTAGGCTTTCACCTGTGAGGCCTCACATATGTATTCTACCACTGAAATACACTCCCTGCCTTAAAACTATTTTTTTGTAAATATTTGATAGCCTTAAGTTGAGAAACTTTTCCTGTTAATAGTACTGTCAAAAGATTAAATGAATTAGGATTTAAATTGTTTATTATATATATTTACTTTAGAAACCCTTTACAGTTATAAATGCTTTGATAGTTTAAGAAAATATGTTTATAGTCGTAATTATCAAGCACCGTGATAGAAAGTTGTGACAAACTGGCTCCATATTAAAGGTAATGCATTTTAGGTCTATAATGAAAGTTAGTTTTGCATATCAACTGAATTTCATCTAATGGTCTTAAGTGAACGGAATGATCTTAAAAAGGTTCTTAATTCAAATATAAAGTATAAATACCAATTAAAAGAAAAATTCTGATAAGTACTAAATAAAAGAAAAAGTCAATGTAAAGGAAGTAGACTCTATAAATAACTTCTGAATATCATCTGGCCTTTGGTGAGTTAAGTTGAATAAGAAGTTAAAAATATTTGTCTTCCTTTTTCAGAGTTCAGTCTGTTTAGAGATTTAAAATTTAAAGGCTGAACACACACGAGATAGCCACAAAAAGGAAATAACTTTACAGTTTGCTGTTCTTAGGATTTTAGAAGTATATATATCTGTGTAAAACTATTATCTGAGAAAACAAACTTTTAATGCATTTGCAACATTAAGAAATTGAATTCTGATATTGTTTGTAATTCTTGACATATGAATATATAGACATAATTATTTTGACAATTATGGAGGTCAAAATTGGGTAAAGAACATGTTCCACTACTTTTCCTGAAAAACAATCTATTGTAGTGCTTCATCTATTTTTTGAGACAAACTATGATGCCTCCATATGCTGGAGGACAAAGTAAATATACCTATGTCTGATTTTAAAAAGAATAATTCTGTCATATATTAAAATGTGAATATTGTAATATACCAACATCAGGATGCTGTATCAACCTGTAGTACTTTAATGGTTTCCCCTCTGGTAGAAGCATGTTTAAATCTGCTCTCTAGTGTTCAAGTGTTTTTTGAAGGATGATCCAGTAGAACTCTTGTTAAAATTATTATTATAATAGATAAAGAAAATTTAAAAATGTATTTGTTACATGCACTTTATTACAACTGTTGATTTTATTTCTTTCTAGGTGTTACTTAAGAATAGGTGATCGTATCTTCCAGTAATGAAACTTTAAATTTAGAAAAGTCCAATGATTCAAGTTCATAAATGCTGTATTTTAGGTGCTAGAAAATATTTCTAATTGTGTGAAAAATTATATCCTCATTGCAACACCAAGATAGACTGCAGTGTTACCAGTGTTACACTGTGTCTTGGTGTATGTGTGTATGTGAGTGAGTGAGATGCTTAGCTCAGGGTAAATTCTTACCTTTAAACAGACTTTTAGGTTTTTTGTTTGTTTCCTTTGTTAGTTATAGCCATTACCAAAAAAAAGAACCCATTAAGCCTCTCTCCATTAAAAATGTTCTTGCCTCCAATTGTGCAGAAATATTCCATGCAGAGATATTCTGCTTGAATTAGGAAAGTTTCCAGAGTACACTAACTTTCATAAGCACTGTTTTCCTTTCACATACCCTGTCTTTGCTGAAGTTACATGTTTTAAATAATTGGCTGCATTTAAAAACTTGGATTAACTCATAGCATTCTTTGCTTTTTTATTGTCAATGTTGTGTTTGTTCAGGAAATAAACTTTTTATTTCTTTGTATAGTATAAGCCTGATATAGAAAAGATACCCAGTAGAACATGTTTATTTGATATTTGAAGGATCTTTAAAATAGTTTATGTTTAAATAATGTGTAAGATTTATGTATTTTATATGACAAACCAAAATCACATGTGTATTTAAATGCTTTTGTTAGTTGCTGTTAATTCATGTAACGGTTTTCTTGGCGTTTTAAGTCTCACAAATCATCTTATTTTTGTGCATCCACACATGCCAATAAGTGAATCATGGTGCCTTTCCCAAGCCTTGTATGAACAGGACTGGGGTAAGGGCCCCCCGCCCCCGGCCTTATCATGGTTCTTAGAAAAAGCTTTAAAAGAAAATTCCATGTTTCTCAGGCAAAAAAAAAAAAAATAAGAATTAAGCTAAACTTTATAAGTAATATGTAGATGTTTTGGCACTAAATATCTGTTGGAAAAATTATTTTAAGTGGATTTTAAATTGCACTTAGTCATGTTTCTGATAGTGTCACTCACCTTTATGGAAAGTATCAGCAACTAAAAGAATACATTTCTTTGGCATGGGATTATACCTCCAATTTAATCAAATTTAATTAGCTTTAGCTCAATGTTTTCCAAGATTAGCCTGATGTTTTAAAAGTATTTCATAAATTTGTATGTAAGAAATACACAAGAATTTAGATACATTTGCAAAGTTTTGAAGGTCAAAGCACAGTTAATTAATAGAATGAAGCATATATATATATTTTTTGGGGGGGTACTGGTGATCGAACTCATGACCTTGCCCTTGTGAGGCAGGCATGGTGACACTGAGCTAAATCCCAGGTCCCTTTGTTGATATTTTAGAAAATGGCTTAAAAAGATTTGATATTTATTAGATCTCTGAAACCCCCTATTTATATGTTTGCCACACCATCTGGTTCATGCCGCTAGATGGCAGTATTTTATTTTTATGTAAGCTGTAGACAGTACACAGCTTTCAAGCTTTTTCATCTTTGGAATCTCTTTACACTTTTAAAATTTATTAGCAGTTTCAAACAGCTATTTTATGTAGATTATATCACTGCTTATTGTGGTAGTAATTAAAACTAAAAGTATAAAAATGTTGGGTCCATTTACAAAGTAACGGTTATAAACCTACTATATGTTAGTATAAGTACTTTTATGACATACACGTAGGGCCAGGTATTTAGCTCAGGGGCACCACACTTGCCTGGCAAATGCAACATCTTCAGTTTTGATTCCTGGTACCACAAAAAAAAAAAAAAAACACCAAAAAAACAAAAAACCTATATTTTCTAAAACAAAAATCTGGTAGGAAGAATGGTCTTGTTTTATAATTTTGTCACATTGTTTGGTATAAAACAAGACAGTTGAGTTTTAATGCCATTTCTGCAATCTGTCATCACATGTTATTTTGGTTGAAATATATGAAAAAAATCTGCTCTACACAGGTAAATATTTGGAAAAGGGTGGCCCTCACAGTTCCTGTGAAAGGGCCCTAGGACTGCCAGAGTCTTTAGAGCACACATTGATAATTGCTACTTTGGATTTTTAAATTTATTCAGAAAGGAGGTTTGGTGATTGGATGGGAATTCTAATAAGCAAAACTTTTTTCGTTCCTTTTCTGTTAATTTGTACTTTATTCATTTTATAATACTACCTGTTTGTTTTTTAAGTCTAATGCCACATGCATTTTCATAGCGGCCTTTTTAGAGGGTGAAGGTGGCTAAGATAAAGACTTAAGCATTGGTTAACTTGTTCTTTATTTTTATTTATTTATTTAGGATTAGCAGTTAATTTGGAGGTTTGTAGTCATTCCTCATTCTGCATCCTTATTTATTCCCTGCAATGAGAATAGAAGTTGGTTTTGTTACCCTTATTGTTGACATGTTCTCTAGGACAGAGTAACAAAACAGTGATGCTATGTGAAGCATCAGAATTCTGGCATTTGTTATTACAATTGATCTGGATGCATAGGTTGAGGAGAAGAAAAGGTGGTGGAATGGCAAAATCAATGCTATATTCCTACCTTTGTCTAACAGTACTTTTATTTCTCCCCTCTTTGCTAGTTTAGTTTTCTTTTTTGGAAATATTTTCTGTATGTCATCTAATACCCAGCATATTATTGACAAGTGGTAAACATCCAGGAAATATTTGATAAATGAATGGTTGGATTATTTAGCTGTAGATTATCAACCTTTCTCATTTAACTCTTTAAGCATCGTCCATTTTTATAATTTCCATGAGTGTGAGCAAACCTTATTTTAAGTGGAAAGTGAGAAGCTAAGCAGTAAAAGTCTTGCCCTGTATTTTAATGAACTGACAGGATTATATTTAAGGTTGGTTAAACTTGTGCCTACAAGTATTTTCAAAGTTTTTTTTCTTTAATAAAAATTGCCTGAGATACATTGAATTTTGCTTTGGAAGAATACGGTGTGTTCTTGCAACATTCTGCGGCAGTTTGTGCTTAGCTTTTCTGTCCAGTGTGAATCCTGACCGGTTTTCCTGCACCTTCTTGCATGTTGGCAGACTTGTCAGCTATGGTGGATGCATGCTTTCTTTCTCCTGCTCATTTACCTTTTGTTGGTAATTGAAAGATAACTCTGTGGATACTCAGAACATACTTCTTTAGTACTTATAATTACAGCATTCTCACTTTGGAATGAGTAGGGGATTCATTTTTAGAATATTACAGGTGTGAATACCACTGTTTTGTGTAATAATTGCAGGGTCAGAGATGAGATGCTTTTGGTTACTTACGTAGACTCTCTCACTGTGTTCTTCTCAGTTATCAAAATGAGAGTCACTATTGGAGGCAGATTTCCTATGAAGGAGAGGCTTGTTTTGTGATAGTATGGGATCCATAATGGGTTTGAAATAATCTTTTATATATGTGATTCTATGTCATGTGCTTTAATGCTTTTTTAGAGTTTCTGACATTCCCTTAAAACAGAATGGAGGTAGAAAATAGTGAGTTTTGGTTTTTGTTAGAGGTATAATGTGCTACATTTTGTTGACAGAAACAAATAGTAATCAACTGATTCTTCTGGTTTATATATGATCAAAATATGTACATTTATGAAGATACCACATTGAAACATAGTACTGTAAAATTAATAGGCACTAATAAAATATTTTTGAAAAGTTCTCCCATCAAACTTCTATATTTAAGTTGATTTATCACGTGAGGGCAAATTTGGATGCTCCAGTTACCGCGTTTGAATGAGGATATTGAATTCAAAGACTTCTTTCAATGTGTGAAATTTGTCTTTCTTTTTGACATAGTAGAGGGTTAAGTTTAGATGAAAAGTACGATGGAGCAAAAAACTTAGTCTCAGGGCCAGGGATTTAGCTCAGCAGTTTGGTGGCCTGCCTTGCAAGCTCAAGGACCCGAGTTCAATCCCCAGTAACAACAACAACAAACAAAACAAAAAAACTTAGTGTCTTTTAATCATTATATGGTGGATAATCAGGTGACTTAGGAAAACTAAAACCAGAATATAATAGGATATTATAAGATTTACTAAGTGTGCTTAGCAAACTTAATTATTGGAAGGTTTTATTTTAATAGGAATTTAGAGCATGGACTTTTTGCTTGAAAGATGAGAAAGTTATATATAATATATATAATTACTTATACTATGCTGGATTCTAGAATTTAAAAAATATAAACAAAATTACTTGTTAAATAATAGTAATGGAAAAGTGCTAAATACCTAAGCATCAAAAAAATTACTTCTTTTCCATATTTAAATATTCAGCACAAATTAAGCAGTAAACACTCTTATAGAATCTCCCATAATTATTTTATTTTACCATTTTTTCCCATTAAATTTATTGGTACAATGAAACAAACAGTAAAGTTACATTTATCATTGGGATCTTGTGCCTTTACATGATATATCTTGGTTCTTATTTTTTTCCCATACCCCCGCCCTCTCTTCACCTCCTTCATGCTTCCATATTTTACCATTTTTAATTGAGGGAGTTAATTTCATGTTATTAAAATGATTAGTTACTTCTGTGTGCTTATTACTAGAATTTATAGTAAAAGAATAGTTAGTGCTCACTTTGGCAGCACATATACTGAAATTGGAATGATACAGAGAAGATTAGCATAGATCCTTCATAAGGATGATTCCCAAATCAGGAAGCATTCCATATTTTAAATAATCAAGCATACAAGTAGAAATATCTACTGAATTATCTTATATAAAAAACCTAAAATATAAATAAAAAACAAAATAAAAGATAGAAAATAGGAAATGGGGGAGAAGTCTTTTGCAAAAGGAAATGGAACCAAGAGACAGAAACAGAAGGAGAGGAAAGGGATGAAAATACATTAACACTATTAAAATGTGTTGTGTACAGGTACAAACTCCCCATGAAGAACCAGATCATTTTGTATTACAAACATATACCAATAAAAATTAAAAACTAAAACACTGTAGAAAGAATAGCTAGTTTAAAAACAATTTTAAAAACATTTAATTTTTCAACATTCATATCTAAGGATTATCGTCTTGATGGTTGTAGACAAATTATAGTAAATTTAGATTAAGAATCTTGAAAAATGACTTCAGCTAATTAATACTCTTGAAATTTATACCATATTTGAGCATCAGTTTTACACCTTAAAATATAAAATTAATGAATTTGATAGATTTATTTTATATCAAGATTTATGATTGCCATAGAAATTATTATTTAAACTGAGAGCTAAATTGTGTTTCTCAGTTGTTGTCAGAGGTCAGCCTTTTTCTGCCCTTTTCTGTACCTAATTGAATTTACCATTAAGAAAATGCTTTAGAATAGGTGTTTGTCTTCAGGTATGCAATTCCTGTGCCCATTCTTCAGTGTCTTAAAACCAAACTATGGTTAATAGAATTCTTTTTTCTTTTCTTTCTTTTTTTTGTCTTATTGAGATGCTCTGGGTTGAGATTCCCATACTTCTTATACAACTAGGTCAATGAACTGTCTTTCCTGAACATGTTTCTTGATGGGATTAAAACCTTGCTTGAGCATTGACTTTTATTTATAATTTATCTCCATGTAATGGGAAGTTTTCAACTCTGTCACAACTAAAGGAAATAGTTTAGTATGAAAGTAGCAGGATATATTCACAGGCTATCATTATGCTAATGTGTATATATATATAATCACATGTACACACGAATCTGTGTATACACACATACATGCATACATAAATATCGATAAACATAATATATGCAGTTTTAATGCCAAATTACCCAGCTGTTACAGGCATCCTATCTGGTTTTGTTAGATGCTTTGTGAGCTACTTGGTCTTCTTAAAGACCTGACTGCTCTAGCTAAGGTGATTATTTTTGCTGGGCCTGAATTTCTACTTATTTCACCCAAGAACTCCCTACTGATAGTGCCTTTTTGTGTATTGTTTAATCAGGTAGTTTTCTTTATAGTCAACTGAAGGCAGCTCTAACTTTAAACTTATACAAGTAAGTTTCAGTTCAAAAGTACAGCACACTTTTGGGAAGCTGAGGTGGGAGGATGGAGAAGCCAGTTTGAGAAACATAGACCCCTTTCTGGGAACAGGTTGTGGGGGAGGGAGACAAAAAAACACAGTACTATGTGTGATTCAGTCAGTGAATGCTTTTAAAAAAAAGCAAAACCTCCTTTTTTATTATATGTTTGAGAAGATTTTAAAAGAATTGAAAGAATAGTGTTTCCATTCTTTTTTTTTTTTTTTTTTTTTTTTTTTTTTTTGGTACTGGGGATCAAACTCAGGACCTTGGGCTTGTGAGGCAGTTGGCAGCACCACTGAGCTAATTCCCTGGCTCCATTCTTAAATATATCCCAGTGAGTATACAGTATTGTTGCATAGTTACTGATGATAAATTAAGAACTATATAGCAAAGAAGCAGTTGAAATTATACAATACAGAAGTAGGTACATGTCTTTCATTCATAAGGACACTGGTAGAGAAATTGAGGAATCTTTAATATTACAGTATTCTGCTTCACAAGTGCAAGGACCCGAGTTTGATCCCTGGTACCAAAAAAATCCAAAAACAATCCCCCTCAAAAAAACCAGAACAGTATTTTTTTCAGACTTCTGAGCTTAAACTCATAAGCAGTCTTAATATCTTAATCCAGAATGTAACAAAAATACTTGTTTCAGTGACTGAACAATTCTTGTGTCTTTATTGAACACTTCAGAAGTATCCCTTGGCTTCGAACAATTATGTGTTTTTTTAACCTGTCTTGCTACAGCTGCTCTTAGTTCCCATAAGTTGAATGTACAACACTTTAGCTCAGTGATAATATTTCTTGAGATACTTGTTTTCTATTGTTTTAATTATAGCTTTTGAGGAACTTGAAAAGGCCTTGAGCACAGCCCAAAAAACAGAAGAGGCACGGAGAAAAATGAAGGAAGAAATGGATGAACAAATAAAAGCTATTGAAAAAGCAAGTGAGCAGGAACGCATCAGTCTTCAACAGGAATTAAGTCGGGTGAAACAGGAGGTTGTTGACATAATGAAAGTAAGAATAATTTTGGACTGAAGTGATCTACACCAATTTTGAAACTTAAGTTTGCGTTTTTGCTATAGTTTTTTTAGGGAAGAATTGATTTGTATTTCAGACTTTCATCACTTTATGATGGCCTGGATACAGTTTAAAAATTTTTGATAGAGATATTAACTTAATGTTTAGGTGATTTTCTGCATCCTTTCAAGCTTTGCTTTCTCTGCATTGGGCGATGTTATAAACTGAGGTGTACCTTACCTGGCTTCCTGACTTTAAACTCCTTGAAGGTGGGTTGTTTAGCTGCTTCGATAGAATATCCTCCACAGGACATGGTCAAAAAAGGACTTGCCTAATCTGTGTGTAAGTGGCTAAGAAAATTACTTGGATAAAAGCACCTTATACTCCATGAGTAAATGTACACTATAAGTAAAGTGCTTCTATGACTCATTAAGAAAATAAATGACAAATAGCACCACTTTCCCCCCAAAATCAAGGATTCAGTCAGGCAATTAAAGAAGATGGGGCCGGGCATTTAGGTCAGTGGTTCCGCCACCTGCCTTGCAAGTGCAAGGTCCCAAGTTTGATCCCTGGTACCAAGAAAAAAAGGAAAATGACAGGTTCCTTCTAAACATAAAAATGTTTATTATACAGATAGGAATTATGCATATTAGAACTACGGTGATTCTCTTTTTACTTGGAAAGATTAAAAAGTAAGATGACATTTTTCTGGAAGGTGACATTTCTAATTCATTGAGAGTAAATTGTCCTCTTTAAAATTTGTAGCAGCCAGGCAATAATAATAATAATAATACACATAATGTTTGGCCTGAGTAATATTCCACTTTGAAGAATACTGAGTACTTTCACGTATGAGGCTATGAGTGTAGCTCAGTGATAGAGCACTTGTCTAGCATGTACAAGAGCCCATGTTCAGTCCGTAGCACTGCAAGAAAAAAAAAAGAAATATGCATTTGGGCAAATATGTTTAAGTGTAGTTACTATTTGCAATAACAATAACTAAACCTCTTAACATCCATCAGTAGGAAACTGATTATATCATGGGAAATTAATACACAGATATACTATGCAGTCTTTTCTTAGTCTATTGTTTGTTGACTTTTTTTTTTTTCACTTTTTTTTTAAATTCTGGAGGAGATTTTCTTTTCCTGGCAGTTGAATTCACTATTCTTTAATGGCTATCTAGATTTTTTTACCCCATTCCTGAGTATTGAACCTAGGGGTTTTACACTGGGCATATCCCCAGCCCTTTTTTATGTTTTATTTTGAGACTAATTCTCCCTGAGGTACTAATTTGCTGAGACTGGGCTTGAACTTGCTGTCTTCTTGTATGAGTCTCCTAGAATGCTAGGATAATGGGTTTATGCCTCCATGCCTAGCTGCTATTTGTTATTTTTGTTCTATTTAAATTTTGAGATTTTTAAAATTATTTTTTCTTGATACTTTGATGGCTCATTATATATGGTTATATTTTTAGTCCAACTGAAATTTATTTAGTGAAGAAATAAGGTAAAACCCAACTTAAATTGTTTCCAAGTGACTCTCAGATAATCTCCATATCATTTATTTAACAATCCACCTTTTCTCTCTGATATGCCATATTATTTGATTAATTACTAAATTAGTAAAGTATTAGATGTGGTTCTTTTGTCTGGATTCTCCATGACACTTCATTACTTTGTTTCACCCTGTGCTGTCTGTTGCACTACTGTATTTATTCTAGTTTTGTAATATGTTCTATTATTTGGTAGCTTCCTCTCACTACTTACTTTTGGGGAGAATATTGGCTGATCTTGTTATGTTTGTTTTGTCTAGTAACTCCTTCCCCCATTCTTTTGGTAGTTTTGAATATATTAACTGTTGGGTTTATTTATACTTTTGACATTTATGTAAGATGGAGTTTTCCTATCTAGAAAAAAAATGAGGCCAATAACTTTTTAATAAATATTCATAGCCTAGAAAGCTAGACATAATTGTATTAGTGCAGCCAGGGCAGCTTGACCACAGTAAAGTGCCCTCTCTGACAGCATCCCTTATTCCCCTGCCCACGATGCTTCCTTATCAGGCCAGTGGGGAATTGCCCTGCACATGTGGAAATGGAACTTCAGCTTTATGCACACCTACCACAGGAGCAACACTTCTTATTTTAAACTAAGAGAGAAATATTACTGTTTTTTTTAAACCTTTTGTGGCTTTTGATCTGTGTGGAGGAATGTGCTCTAGTTTCTCCTCTTAATGTTATTACTTTGATTAAACTGTAATAAAGTGTTATTTAGTTGTGGAATTACATATTTCATTCTGGATATTTTCACTTTATCTGTTTGACTGATTTTCAGAAATCTTCAGAAGAACAAATTGCTAAACTACAGAAACTTCATGAAAAGGAGCTGATCAGCAAAGAACAAGAATTGACCAAGAAGTTTCAGACCCGAGAAAGGGAGTTACAGGATCAAATGAAAGTAGCTCTTGTAAGTACCTATTTTGTTTTTGTTATAACTAAATTCCACAGAGTTAAAAGAGTTATCATTCCTCATCCTTGCCTCCCAGCTTTAGGTTAGACTACAGGCAGCCTTGACCTGAGGATAGCAGATAGGCCCAAAAAAGGCTGTTAGAGCTTGTTAGCTTAGTAATTTGTGAAAATGAAATTTTTTGATTTTCCAGGTTTTCATGAATTTATTTATCCTTTTCATACTAGCAACAACCTATAATTAAGAGGAAAAAAGAAAAAAGGTTAATTGAAACAGTAACTACATAATTTAGGAAGAATGTTTAAGAACTCAACAGACTGAATTTATCCAGAGCTCAAGGCTTCCAAAGTTTATATGAATTGTATTGAAAGAGGAAGAAAACGAATCAATATGTGTTTAAGAAATAAACTTAAATTTAAAAAATATACCAAACAATAAGACCAATAACCAGAAAAGTAAGATTCATATTTTAGCTGAAAGATTTGTTCAACTGGTATTATTTGAAAATGAAAAACAAAAAATATTTTTCTTCAATTGTAATGCTCTTGTATATAAATTACTATATAGGTCGGGGATTTAGCTCAGTGGTTCCACTGCCTGTCTCGCAAGTGCAAGGACCCAAGTTCAATTCCTGGTACCAAAAAAATTAAAAAATGAATAAAATAAATAAATTACTATATAGGATGCTAATCCTGAAAATGCAGTTTGTTTTAATAAGTTGTAAAATTATATATACATATATACATATATATATATATAAATATTTGTATGTATATATAATTTTAAAATGTATTCAGTGCAAAAAGATGAAAAATAACATTTAAAATTTTAATCTCCTTTCATACATAACTTTCTTAATTTTTTTTTTTTCTCTCGCAGCCCTGGGGATTGAACCCAAGGTCTTGCAATTGTTAGGCAAGCACTTTACCAGTGAGCTACAACTCTGTTTTTTCATTCTTAGTTGGGTCTGAGCTTTAAGGAATTTCTAGTAGAAAAAATTCTTGAATTGAGGTAACAAGTTTTCTGCTTTGTGAAGCAAACAGGCACATGAATTTACATGTGGTTAGGGTTAGCTAAAGTATAAGAAATTAGTGTGTGGTTGTGAAATTTACACATGTAGGGATATGTATTTGTATTTTCTGTTGGTCCAAAAAAGGAATAGTTTATAAGAACTTAGAGAAGTCTGTAGGAATATTTAAAATATAACAAGACAGCACAAATTAAAAATGGGAGGAAAACAAATGGCATGGAAATTAAGTAAGAAAGTGGAATGTGAGTGAAACTGGACATGGTGGTAAAAAGCTTTTAGTAATGACCAACTGTGGGCTTTTATCCGGGAACAATTTGGGGTCTTTGGAGGCTCTGGGCCTTAAACATTGACATTTTACTATTGTTTTTGAGGAACTGATATATTAAGGTATATTCCAAGTTGAACAAGAATGACACATGCATACATACATGTATGTTTTCCCCTTTCTTTCTTTTTATTGTTTGTTTTGTTGTTCTTCTGTTTTATGGTACTGGGGATTGAATTCAGGGCTTTCACATGGAGTTACATCCCCAGCCATTTTTTAGTTTTTTAAATTTTTTTTAGTTTATCGGTACATTTTAGGTATAAAGTACAGTTACATTCACCATTGGGATCTTGTACCTTTACATGACAGGTCTTGGTTCTCATTTTTTCCCCTTATCTCTGCCCCCATCCATTTTTTAAGTTTTTATTTTGAGTCAGGGTTTCACTAAATCTGTTAAGTTGCCCAGGCTGCCTTTGAACTTGCAGTTATTCTGCCATAGCCTCCAAGAATACTGAGATTATAGGCTTATGCTGCCATTCCCTTCCTTTCTTAATTGAAAAGAGTTAAAGTTTTCCTCTGTTATCTTTATTCAGATATAGAAAAATTGCATTTTAAAAATATTTATATGAGTGTGGTGGTGCATACCTGCACTCGGGGAGGTTGAAGCAGGAGGATTGAAAGTTTGACCCCTGACTTGCCAAGCCCTGTGACTTAGTGAGATCCTTTCTCAGAATGAAAAAGGATTCAGTATATAGCTCAGTGTGAAGCCTCTGAGTTTAACTCCTAGTAATGCATGTGCACACACACACATACATACACACACACACATGTACACACATAGTTTTTATTAAGCAATACAGTATATTGAAAATATTTAAAAATCGATGTAATATGGAACATTCCTTAAAGCATTGTGCTTCACCAGATTATAATGATCTGAAAATGCTGCTGTCAGTAGAGGATGTCTGGGTCAGGGGTATACCTCAGTGGTGCCATGCCTGCCTGGCAAGCACAAGGTCCTGGGTTTGATCCCTGGTACTAAAAGTAAATAAATAAAAAATCAGTCAATGTCTGAGCAGTAAGTATAACTAAGTGCACTTATTGTAATTACAGTTCAATGAAGAAATTATCACTTAATGTCCTAGTTTAATGTGAAAAGTGCTCTCTAGACTTCTCTTCCCAACACAATAAAAACCTCCAATATAAATATAAATATTGATACATAGTAAGGGCAAAGAAACTCTTAAAAACTGAGGATGTGCTAGAGCCCAGATCATCTAAAAAGAGTACTCAAGGCTTAGTTTTTAGTTTTATAGATATTTCCTTGATCTGTTCCATATATTCAGATCTTCTGATTTTGATTGACTTTTCCATGTGAGAGACCGTGTTATAATGACACATTTTTCACAAAGTACATAAATTTAAAATGTAGTTTCTAGACCTAGTGTTAAAATACTAATCTTATTCAGAGGTGAGGTAGCAACAACTATGTGACCCTTCACTTTCAGCATTGTGTTTTGTAAAACATTTTAAGTAATGGAAAAATAGACGATATAGTGTGGTTATTGGAACAGAACTTTTCATATTAAGAGTAGTTGTGGCAAAGCTATAGTGGAAAATAGCTTTAGTGCCTCATTTCTGCAGATGAAAAATGACAATGTTGCCTATCTCACAGGAGTGGGTGCAGATCAAATGAAAAAAGTGATTGTTGTGGAAGTGCTTTGGAAATGCTGAAGATTTATGTGGGCTTAACATGGTATTAATTGTTTTTGGCACAGGAAAAGAGTCAATCAGAATATTTGATGATCACCCAAGAAAAAGAGCAGCAAGATTCTTTGGCTCTGGAAGAGTTAGAGTTGCAGAAAAAAGCGATCCTCGTAGAGAGTGAAAATAAACTTCAGGACCTTCAGCAAGAAGCAGAGACTTACAGAACTGTAAGATAAACAATGTGTAGGCTCCAGAGCTATGAAATTATTTGTGTATGGAGACTATTATTACCTTGCTAGTCTTTATAGTTTCAGAGCAGCTTTTGTTTTACTGGGATATATATCTAGATATAAATCTAGATATATATCTAGATATCTATATCTATATCTATATCTATATCTATATATATATATGCCCTTTATTTTTAGATAGTGTGGCTTTGGGCTCTGTATTTGCTACATGGTACTTCTGGTTTTGCCTTTTAGCTGGCTGTATTTCCATCAGCTACTAAATCTACGCCTTTGTATTCAGGCTTCATGGCATTTCCTCTCCATTGCCCACTCATCCTTGATTCCTAGGAAGTGGCCTCACTTTGCAGGCAACACTTCTTCTAACATCTTCCTGCTTGTTCACCTTTATTTCATGCTGTGTCCTAAACATTATCCATTCTGTGCTTTTGTCAGAGTTTAGTTATACCAATTCCCTACTTTTGTATTTAAGTTTTCCACAAGTTTCCCATATTAAACATAGTTCTATAATGAACATATTTGTATGTATATATATGTATACACGCACACACACACCCCTCAGTGTGTGTATTTGTGAGGCCCCCTGGCGCTTTTCCTGTTTTAAAATGTTAGGAAAACTGTAATGCTCTTTAGACTTTTAACTTTTTTGCTCTGATTTAGACAGTTAAACAGTTATACTCCTTGCACACATTTCTAAATTCTGCTTTATTTTTCCATTATTAACATTTATGAAAGGTGGCATAGTGGAGTGAAATAGGTGCTTAAGAGGCCTGTGTCTTATATTTGCTAGCTTTGTAAATTAATTGTGCCTTAGTTTCCTTACCGGTCACATGAAGAGGTTGGATTTGATAATTCCTTCTGACTTTCTATAGCTCCGTCTTTTTTTTTGGTACTGGGGATTGAACTCGGGTCCTTGCGCTTGCAAGGCAGGCTAGCTCCATCTTATTTAGTGCTTTTTTATTTAGAATCAAAACTGATATTTTATGAGATAATAATAATTAGCAATGATTACTATTATGAGTAACAGTAATTTGGCAAAATTTTATATAAATGCCTTTTTAAAGAAAATCTAAATAATAATTTGGGGGTAGAAAAATCAGATACATTATTTTTCTTCTAAAATTAAATTATTTAATAAAGTTCTATATACTACAACCCTCAAGATAAATACACAGTCAAAGAATCCATCCTCTCACAAAAGTTACTATAGTGCCTTGTGATTTATTATTTATATTTTGACTATCCAGTTAGAATATTTTTGAAAGAAGTAGTAGTTAAAATAGTTACCCAATAAGTAGAAAAAAACTGGAATTCTGAAGTATGTTAAAAATACAATCTTTTCTTTATTATATGATTCCTTTAGTAATTAAGGGCAAACATAATGCTTGTTTTACTGTATTTGGTATGAGATATATATATATGAGTGAATTTTAACCTTTAATTGAGTGGCAGATATAACATCTGTATATTATTGCTAAAAATAAATCTATTTTCATTAACAGAGATTTCTTGAATTGGAAAGTTCTTTGGCCAAAAGATTGCAAGAAAACAAAACTCAGTCAGAAGATTTAACTATTCTTTTCGAAGCTGAAAAAAATAAGCACAATAAAGAAATTACAGTCATGGTTGAAAAACATAAGGCAGAATTGGAGAGCCTTCAGTATCAGCAGGATAACCTTTGGACTGAAAGACTCCAAATCTTAAAGCAACAGCATCAGACTGAGATGGAAAAATTTAGAGAAAAGTGTGAACAAGAAAAAGAAACATTATTGAAAGAGAAAGAGAGTGTCTTCCAGGCTCACATAGAAGAGATGAATGAAAAAACTTTAGAAAAGCTTGATGTGAAGCAAACAGAACTGGAATCATTATCTTTTGAACTGTCAGAAGTAGTAAAAGCCCGTAACAAGCTAGAAGAGGAACTTTCTGTTCTAACAAATCAAGTAGCTAAAGCGAAGCAGGAATTGGAGACCAGGCTGGATGAACAGAAAAATCAGCATCAGCAACAAGTTGACAGAATCATTAAAGAACAAGAAATATCTATCCAGAGAACTGAGAAGGTATTAGAAGATCAAATTAATGAACTGGGGCTTCTCTTGAAGGAAAAGGAAAAGCATTTGGAAGAACAGCAGGCTTATATAGGAAAGTTAGAGGCAGAAATTAAAAGATCCGAAGGGGAACTGCAACAGGCATCTGCTAAGCTGGATCTTATTCAGTCGCACCAGAGCACCGCACATGACCAGGCAGAAGCATATGAGGAGCAGCTGGCCCAACTGCAGCAGAAGTTATTGAATTTGGAAAAAGAAAAAGATCTTCTTACCAGTCATGTAGCTGAAGTTGAAACACAGAAGAAAAGTGTTTGTAGTGAGTTAGAATCTCATAAAATGCAGGTGCAGGATGTAATGCAGCGACTTAAAAAACAGAATAGTGAAATGGAACAAAAAATAACATCTTTAACACAGTTATATGAGTCCCAACTTAAAGATAGTAACATTGAACAAGAGCAGACAAAGCAAATGTTGATGGAAAAAGAAAATACAATTTTACAAATGAGAGAAGGACAATGTAAAGAAATTGATATACTCAAACAGAAATTGTCAGCCAAGGAGGGCAGTATTAGTACTTTGCAGGAGGAATATGAAACTAAATTTAAAAATCAAGAAAAGAAAATGGAAAAAATTAAGCAGAAAGCAAAGGAGACACAAGAAACATTAAGGAAGAAACTGGTGGATCAGGAAGCCAAACTTAAAAAAGAGCTGGAAAATACTGTCCTAGAGCTTAGTCAGAAAGAAAAGCAGTTCAATGCCAAAATGTTGGAAATGACACAGGCTAATTCATCTGGAATCAGTGATGCAGTGTCAAGACTTGAAACAAACCAGAAGGAGCAAATAGAAAGTCTCACAGAGGTCCATCAGCAAGAACTCCATGATGCTGTCTCAAGCTGGGAAAAGAAGCTTAATCAGCAAGCTGAAGAACTTCAGGAAAATTATGAAATCCAATTACAGAAGAAAGAACAAGAGATAGCAGAACTGAAGCAAAAGATCCATATACATGTGTGTGAAAAAGAAGAGATGAACAAGGAAATAACGTGGCTGAAGGAAGAAGGTGTTAAGCAGGATGCAGCATTAAAGGAATTGCAGGAACAGCTGGAACAGAAGTCTGTTCATATGACTTCTCTTTCACAAAATGAAAGTGAACTGAGAGCACAACTTGAAAAACTGGAGGCTGAATTGAATCATTCTTTGAAGGAAAATACTTCTCTTCAGGAACAACTAGTTGAACTGAAAATGCTGGCAGGAAAAGATAAGTTTAAGGTTTTGGAGTTGACAGACAAGTTGAAAATCAAGGATGAAGAATTCCAGAGTTTAAAGTCTTTACATGAAACAAGTAAGAAAAGCCTTGAGGACAAAAGCTTAGAATTCAAAGCACTGTCTGAGGAAATAGCGTTACAGCTCGATTGTTACTGTAAGAAAACTAAAGCTTTATTGGAAGCTAAAACAAATGAACTAATAGACATTAGTAGTAGTAAAACTTATGCCATTATTGCTCGGATTTCCCATTGTCAGCACCACACAACTAAAGTCAAGGAGGCACTCCTGATGAAAACTTGCAAGGTATCTGAATTAGAAGCACAACTTAAACAGCTAACAGAAGAGCAAAATACACTAAATATTTCTTTTCAACAGGCCACCCATCAGTTAGAAGAAAAGGAAAGTCAAATTAAGAGCATGAAGGCTGAAATTGAAGGTCTTGTAACAGAAAAAGAAGCCCTACAGAAGGAAGGAGGTAATCAGAAACAGGTTGCCTCAGAAAAGGAGTCTTGTATCACGCAGTTAAAGAAAGAATTATCGGAAAACATCAATGCTGTCACATTAATGAAAGAAGAGCTTACAGAAAAAAAATCTGAGATTGTCATTCTTAGAAAACAGCTAACTGATTTGAATGTTCAACTTCAGAATAGTATTAGCCTAACTGAAAAAGAAGCAGCCATTTCCTCACTGAGTAAGCAATATGATAAACAACAACGTGAATTACAGGATCAGGTGCAAGATTTATCCTTGAGAGTTGATACTCTGAATAAAGAGAAAATTTCTGCTCTTGAGCAGGTGGATCACTGGTCTAACAAATTCTCAGAATGGAAGAAAAAAGCACAAACAAAATTTGTACAATATCAAAACACTGCTAAAGAATTGCAGATGCAGCTTGAGTTAAAAACAAAGGAAGCTAATGAAAAGGATGAGCAGATACATTTATTAAAGGAAGACCTTGATCAGCAAAAGAAACAATTTGAATGTCTAAAGTATGAAATAGAAGATAAGAAGAACAAGATGGAGAAAAAGGAGTGTAATTTAGAGACTGAGTTAAAGACTCAAACAGCAAGGATTATGGAATTAGAGGATCGTACTACTCAGCAAACAATTGAAATCGAGTCTTTAAATGAAGTTCTTAAAAATTATAATCAACAAAAAGATAATGAACAGAAAGAATTGGTTCAGAAAATTAAGCACTTTCAAGACTTAGGAGAAGAAAAGGAGAACAGAGTTAAAGAAGCTGAGGGAAAAGTTTTAAGGCTTGAAAAGCAAGTGTCTTTCATGGAAGCTGAACTTGAAATTAAGAAGAAAGAATTAGAATGTGTGAATTCAAGTGTGAAAAGCAAAGAAGCGGAGTTAAAAGCATTGGAAGATAAATTTGAGTTAGAAAGTGCTACAAAATTAGCAGAACTGAAAAAAAAAGCTGAACAAAAAATTGCTGCTATCAAGAAGCAGTTGTTGTCTCAAATGGAGGAGAAAGAACAGCAATATAAAAAAGGTACAGAAAGCCATTTGAGTGAACTAAATAAAAAATTGCAAGAAAGAGAAGGGGAAATTCATGTCTTAGAAGAAAAACTTAAGTTATTGGAAAGTTCTCCACAATCAGAAACAGCAGATATGTTCCGATCAGCAGAAAATATGACAGCATGTACTGAACAAAAAGAAGCAGATTCCGAAATCTGTGTGCAGATGGCATATGAAGAAAAAATCAATGCCTTACAAAGAAGTTTGACTGAAAAAGAAAAGCTACTGCAAAAGCTAGAGCAGGAAAAAGAGACAATTACATGTTCTCATTCTGAAATGCAATGCGAGCATCAGGAGGTCTTGATAAAATTAAAGCATGCTGAAGCAAAACAACATGAAGATCAGGTTATGATAGGTCATCTTCAAGAAGAACTTGAAGAGAAAAAGAAATACTCATTAATAGTATCCCAGCATGTAGAAGAAGAGGAAGGCAAAAATAACAGAGAGGCAAAGCAAAACTGGGAAAATGTGGTTTACGATGTCCAGAAAACCCTCCAGGAGAAGGAACTAACCTGTCATTCCTTGGAACAAAAGATAAAAGAACTGGATTCTTGCTTAGTAAGAGAGAAGGAGGTACATAGACTTGAAATGGAAGAGTTGATTTCAAAATATGAAAAATTACAGGCTTTACAGCAACACAATGATGGAAAAAATAAAAACATTGAAGGTTTGGAAGATGGTACTGAAGAAAATTCCATATCACATGCAATCCAACCCAAATTGCTTGGTAACTTGGAAACCCAGCACAATGACCTGGAGTTTAAATTAGCAGGGACAGAGCGAGAAAAGCAGAAACTGAGCAAGGAGGTTGTAAGATTGCAGAAAGACCTTCGAATGTTAAGGAAGGAACATCAGCAAGAATTGGATATACTAAAGAAAGAATGTGAACAAGACATGAAGGAGAAAATCAAGTAAGTTTTATTTCAGCATTCCTCTTTAATTGTTCTTTTTGTGTGTGTGCTTAGTACAATTATTTTAGATTATTTGAACGCTTTACCTACACAAAGTGTTAAATGTAAGCTAAACATGGTGGTACACGTCTATAATCCCAGCTACCTAGGAGGCTGAGGTAGGAGGCTCACAAGTTTGAGGGCATCCGGTCAACTTTGCAAGTAAAGAATGCTTGGGTTGGGCTAGGGATTTTGGCTCAGTGGTTCTGCTGCCTGCCTCTTAAGCAGAAGGGCCGGAGTTCTATCCCCAGTACGAAAAAAAAGAACACTTGGATTGATCCCCAAGTAGTGGAAAAGAAAAGTGTTAAACATAAATTTAGTACGTTAAAATACTGAAAAGAAATAAAAAAAAAAACAGTTTAAGACAAGAGGCAGTATTCCATGTCCATTTAGGGGGGAAAAAAACCTTTGCCTCAATATAACAAGTAACTATTTTCTCTTTGGTTTATTGTTTTTAGTAGTAACATTATTATTATATACCACAGGTGCCTATGGTAGAAGTTTAAAGTGGGAAAAATACTGTTCATCCCCTGACCACTTCCTAGGGCCAGTCATAGTTTGTATATCTTTCCAGAAGTTTTCTGTACTTGGACGACACACACATGCGCACATACATACACTTAACTTGTTTTCATACCAGTGAAATCATACTGTGAACGGTTTTGCAGTCCAGGTAACTCATTGCAATTTGTTTTTTGTGTGGCAGCAATTAACTCTACATTTTTGTTTCTCAGACAGGAGCAGGAAGATCTTGAGTTGAAGCATAATTCCACATTAAAACAACTGATGAGGGAGTTTAATACCCAGCTGGCACAAAAAGAACAGGAGCTGGAAATGACCATAAAAGAAACTATCAGTAAGTACAGCTATTCAATGACGAATAAATCACAATCAGCAGAGACTATATAGTTTTAAGTTTATTCTTTTTTATAGTTGCCATAAGTCATTAAGTTGGAGGAAAAATGATTCTTGTTCAAGAATTTCTCTACCAGGTTCTAGGAAGTTCTCTGCCCTGCCCTGCCTGGCAATGTCTCAGAGAGAGCAAGAATAGCTGAATCAGAAATCATTAGTTAATAACTACCTTATAAAGACACTTAGGCTGAATTCAAGGGTTCTTTTGATCAATTGATGACTATTAGGCTGGGTGTATCACTGAGTACGTTGTAAGACTTACTGAATTTTGCTAAAATTAATTTGTAATGAGGACTCTTAGTAAAATTAAGATACAGACATTCACTGTTGACTAATGTATCTTCTTGTGTGTGTCCATTTTTATTTTTAGGTAAGGCCCAGGAGGTGGAAGCTGAACTTTTAGAAAGCCATCAAGAAGAGATAAATCAGTTACATAAAAAAATTGCAGAGAAGGATGATGATCTACAAAGAACAGCCAAAAGATATGAAGAAATCCTTGATGTAAATTCTTTTTTTTTTTTCTGTTTTGAAATTGGCTATAATAGATCTTATGGTAGTGTTGAATAAGATTTTCAGTTTTTGTTATGTAGAAATGTGCTTTGTTTTGTCTTTTTTTTTTTTTTTGCACACTATTATCCAAATTAGTACTTCTGTACTACATATAGATATAAGAGTCTAATTTCTGCCTGGATTGTACTTTCGTGATCAGTGCTATCCAGGCAGTATAGCCTACTTGCTGGTATTGAACCAACAGTCATTTACTGAAGGGAAGAAGAGACTCTCTTTTACTTCTTCCAGATTGATTCGGGATAAAGTGCGAGAGAGCCAGACTAAAAATTGAGATCTTGTGCTTGGATAAAATCCAAGTATAGGACAGTTATTGTGTATATTTGAGTGTGGCTGTTTAACTTGGAATCTTTCTAGGAGAGCCTGTTGACTTCTCCATCTCTACTAAATTTGTAGTTTTTGTTGGTGTGGGTGAAGTGGGAGGGCAAATTGAGGAAATAAAACAAAATGCATTCAAATGTTTCCTAATTTCAGTTAGTTTAACCTTCGTTACTTCTAATGAAATTGCACTAATAGAATAAAATGAGCCGTGAAGGTAAGAAAGACATGCATGCTAGTGCATACTTTGAACCCCAAGAACATTTTCAGATGTACAACAAATTACTTTCAGATTATATATTCTTCTGTTACTTCATTACTCCCAATCTTATTTTACTGTATGCCAAGAAGCATTTAGTGATTAAGAATGCCAAATGGGAGAATCTTGCCTCAACTACTGATGTATCAGCCCTAGACATCTGAGCTAGGAATAGATACTAATTATTTTTTTTTCAGCTTTAATTTAATTTATTGGTTCATTTTAGGGATACAGTACAGTTACATTCATTGTTGGGATCTTGTACATGACAAGTCTTGATTCTCATTTTTTCCCCTTACCCCTGCCCTCCCTTCACCCCCTCCTCCTCTCCCCATCTACAAACACTTTATTTTCATCTTTTCATTATCTCACATTTTTTTCTTTTCCCTTTTTACCCTTCCCCTACCCATCCCACCTTCCCTGCACCTTTAGCTCCTTTACTAATTATTATTTTAAATGTAATTGAAATAGCTGAAATTTCAGGATATGATACATACCTATACTTTGTTTTTTTTGTTTGTTTGTTTTTTTGAGACAGAGTCTCTTATGTAGTTGAGACTGACCTGGAACTCACTATGTAGCCCAGGCTGGTCTGGAACTCGCAGCGATCCTCCTGCCTCAGCCTCCCAAGTGCTAGGATTACAGGCTTGCGCCACCAAGCCCGGCTACATGCCTATACTTTAAATGCCACCTTTGTGTAGTTTGTGAACTTTGAATTTCAGTATGAAAATATTTAAATAATTTCCCATTTTTTCTACTTCAGAGTATATATGTGCTAAGTTTAGAAAAATATTATTACTTCAAGAATGTTTAGTGAATGTTAGAATTGGAAGATACATTATAGCTAGTTTAGTTCTGTCTTCCATTTTTTGTAGAGGGAAAAGCAAGTTCAGCATAGTTATTTCCTTAAAATCACACAGTGAGTGGTAGAATAGAGGTCCTTCATTAACCTCATATATTTAATAACTAAAGACTTTTCCCTAGAAAGGGAAAGGGACTTTAAGAAGGCAACAACTGTTTATCATGAATAATTAAGTTGGGGAAGTATATCTGCAGGGATAAAATCTTTCATGGTTCTAGAATTCCCTTTTTGTGAGCTACTTCTCTGTCTCTGTCTCTGGTTGTTTGGGGTAGCACATGCTAGACTATCCAAGGATAATGATAATCCCATGTGGTTTTGTCAGTGAGGGAGCAGGGAGACAAGAACCGTAGGCTCTCTGGCATGTTTTCTTTCTCCTTGAAGATTAGCTATATATTAGGAAAGTAGAAGAAATAGTCTTCTATGCTTCAGGTTTGGAATAGTAGAGCAAGTTAGCAGGAAGTGGAAGATGGATAAGGGAATGGGGTGAATTCTTTCTCAAGCTTCTTACTTACCTTAGACCAGCACTATGCATTAGAATGTAATGTTAGGTATATTTTAAAGTTTTCTACCATAAAAGCTACATTACAAAGAAACAGATGAACTTTATTTTCATGCTATGATAACTAACTCAGTATGGCCCAAATAGTATTATTTCAAAATGTAGTCCTTATAACATTCACATATCCGTGGCCCTCCTAATCCACTGCTCTTTTAACTTTGATTCAGCCATCTGCTAATTGAAAATATTTGGGGGAAAAAACTGTGTGAACTGAACCTGTACCTAAACAATAAAGTGTAGCACATCTTTACATAACATTAAGATTATGTTATCTCAGAATGACTCAATATAAATGAGGATGTATATAAGTTATATGCATATACAATGCCATTTTATTCATTGTTTATTTGTACATTTTAGGTATACAATATGATGACATTTATCATTGGGAATTTGTACCTTTACATGATATATCTTGGTTCTTATTTATTCCCCATTCCCCTGCCCTCCCTTCAACCCTTCTACCATTCCCTATTTACAAAGACTTTGTTTCCATTTTTTCCTTGTCTCATATTTTTTCCTTTCCCTTCCATACTCCTCCCACTTCCTTCTCCTCTTTAGACCTTTTCTTGTTTCACATTATCTATTATACATTTTGATTTTTATTTACACTTTGAGTTTCTCACAGCAGAGAAACTATTTGGTATTTACACATCTGTCCTATTTATTTCACGTAAGAGTATGGCCTCAAAGTGCATCCATTTAGCTATAAATGACTCTAGTTTTTCATTCTTTGTGACTGAATAATACTCCATTTATTAAAAAAAAAAAACGTATCTTGTATTCAGTCTCCAATTGATGGGCAGTTGGGCTGTTTCCAAGTTTTATCTATTGCAAACTGTGCCCCTATAAACACAGGTGCACATATATTGCTGTGGTATGATTCTTTTAATTCTTTTGGGAAGATACCCAGCAGGGAAATAACTGGATCAAATGGGACTACTAATCCTAGTTTTAGAGATTATCTATACTGATTTGCACAGTGATTGCACCAGTCTGCACTCCAACAATGGAGAAGGGTTCCTTTCTCTGCGCAGCCCCACCAGCATTTGTTATTGGTTGATTTCTTGATAGCCATTCTTTTGAGGGGGGGTCCTGGGGATCGAACTTGGGACCTTGTGCTTCAGAGGCAGGCAGTGGAACCACTGAGCTACATCCCCAGCCCTATAGCAGCCATTCTTTCTGGGTTGAGGTGGAGTCTCAGTGTTGCTTACATCTGCATCTCTCAAATGACCAGTGATATTGAACATTTTTTCATATGTTTATTTGCTGCTTTTACTTGTTTGTCTGAGAAATGTCTGTTCATTTCATATGCCTGTTTGGATTTTTGAATTGGGTCTTTAAATTTGGGGGGCTGTCTGTTTTTTTTTAAGTTCTTTATATATTCTAGATAGTAGATCTTTGTCTGAGGAACAGCTAGTAAAATGTTTTCCCCATATTGTAGGTTTGTCTTTTAGCTCTGTTGGCGGTTTCTCTTGTAGTGCAGAAGCTTTTTAATAGGATAAGACCCCACTTGTTGATTCTTTGTGCTAGTTCCCTTGCTACTGAGGCTTTGTTCATAAAGTCTTTTCTTATGCCAACATTTTCAAGGTTTCTACCTAACCTATCTTCCAGCAAATTTAGTGTTTTTATTTTAATATTCAGATCCATTTTGATTTTAGTTTAGGGCATGGTGAAAGATATGGGTCTAATTTTAATCTTTGGCAGGTTGAAATCCAGTTTTTCCAACACTATTTATTGAAGAGGCTATCTTTCTTCCACTGAGGAAGGTTGGCTGCTTTGTCAAAGATGAGGTGGCTGAGTATGTCTGGAGTTGTTTCTGCATCTTCTAATCTATTCTGGCCTGTTTCTTAGCCAGTACCGTGCTGTTTTTATCACAGTGGCTTTATAGTATAGTTTCAAGTTGGGCATTATGATATCCCCTGTCATGTTTCTGTTGCCTGGAATTGCTTCTGCTATTCTAGGTCTCTTTGGTTCCAAGTGAATTTTTGGATTGTTTTTTCTAGTTCTGTGAAATATACTGTTGGGATTTCAACTTGGATTTAACAATGCCATTTTTAAAATAAGAGACTTGAACATCTGTGGGATTTGGTATGGGAAAAGGTAGTCTTGAAACCAATCCCCACAGATGCCAAGATATAATTGTATATATGCTCACATGCACATATAGCCACTATATATATATATATATATACACACACACACACACACACACACACACACACACACACACACACACACACACACACACACACACATATATAGTATGTGTATATGTATATACACACAGATACATATATAAATTCTTTCAAATTCCCCCTGATTCCCCCTGCTTTTATATTTCATTTAATTTAGACTAAGCGCAGTTCAGGCGCTGCAATTCTAGGGCTTCCAGTGGCTATTATACAGGCTAGTATATCCTTAGATTTTCCAACTACCAGGTCTGGAACTGACTTCGTAATTGTAACTTGCAGTTAAATCACAGTCCCTAACTAAACTCCCCAAA